CCGACCGGAACCACTTCGACCGAGCAAACTCAGGCCAAGCCTGCCTTCTTGGATGCGAGAACTCGGGAGGAAATCGTCTTCGACACTGCCAAATACCCCTCCTTGGATGCCGCAAGTCAGGAAGAGATCAAACGAAAATATCGGGAACTGAACGAGCGTATCAAGGCCGAGGGACTTTACGACTGTAACTACTCTTGTTACTTTGTTGAATGCTGTCGGTATACACTTTTTGCAGGTCTTTCCTATACCTTCCTCCGCATGGGATGGTGGGCGACCTCGGCATTCTTCCTCGGCTGTTTCTGGCATCAGCTTGTGTTTACCGCCCATGATGCTGGTCATATGGGCATTACACACAATTTCCATGTGGATACTCTCATTGGAATGTTCATTGCAGACTATCTGGGAGGATTGAGTCTCGGGTGGTGGAAACGAAGCCACAACGTGCACCATATTGTGACCAATGAGCCAGAGCATGACCCGGATATCGAGCATATCCCATTCTTCGCTATCTCCCATCGCTTCCTCACGAGTCTCCGCAGTACCTATTACGATAGAATCATGACGTTTGACGCCCCGGCTCGATTCTTACTCAAATTCCAGAATTACTCTTACTACCCCATCATGATGCTGGCTCGTTTCAATCTCTACGCCTTGAGTTGGGAGTATCTGTTAAAGGGCCAAGCTCCTAGAAGGGGCCCCGCCTGGTGGCATGTTTGGTTTGAGCTTGTCGGGCAAGTCTTCTTCTGGACCTGGTTTGGTTACGGTGTGATGTACAAGACGCTTCCCGATGCAAGCAGCCGGATCATCTTCCTTCTCGTCTCACACATCGTCTCCTCCCCACTACACGTCCAAATTACCTTATCCCACTTCGCCATGTCGACCGCCGACCTAGGTGTCGGCGAGTCCTTCGCGCAGAAGATGCTCCGTACCACTATGGACGTCGACTGCCCAACATGGCTGGATTTCTTCCACGGCGGCTTGCAATTCCAGGCCATTCACCATCTCTACCCGCGGATCCCGCGCCACAACCTACGTCGTACGCAGAAGTTTGTCATAGAGTTCTGTCGCGACACTGGTATCCCCTATGCCATCTTCACGTTCTATGATGGTAACAAGGAGGTTATCAGCCGGCTTGGTGAAGTTGCGAAACAGGTCCGCCTCATGGAGGAGTGCCGCAAGTCTATTGCCGAGGGCGGCGTCTTCTCCGATCACCACCACTGATATGAAGTGTCAGTTCCTTGCTGGCCAAGTACGAGTTTCCTGTGTAAACATGCTATCACGACTGCCTATACCGCATTATATATGTGTTTAGGTATATTAATGAATCACTTGAATGCGTTTTGTTTTGATGCGTTGTGGCTCTTGTTATAGAATTCCAACGAATTTTTATGTAAATTACATCCATGGCCACTATCAGGTATCAAAGATAAAGAATGACCAAATCTCTTATGCCGCAATGCACATATAAACCAACTTCATCTCTCCGTATGTTTAGCCAGGTAAACCACCGCCACGCGCCATCTTCTTCGCATGCTGCTGTCGACGGTTGTGATTCGCCCGACTACCCTTATTCTCTTCCTTTCTCTGTCGCGATACTGCACTATCCTTATCCGGCTGTCCCTGGCCGCCAGACGAAGGACCACTACCACGGCCACCACGGCCACCAAGGCCACGGCCGCCGCCACCCCGTCCTCGACCACCACGTCCACCGCCTCCTCTACCACCCCGCGAACCAGCATTACCAGAGGACTCGCCCTCATCAGAATCCTCCCTATCCTCGCGAGGCTGTGGCCTCCTGTAAGATGTAGAACGCAACTCAGGCTGGTTAAGTGACCCAGCACCAGCCAACCCGCCAGCGTCCATAGCCAGCCGGTCTTCGAGTTTAGCGAGACGCTTAGGATCACGCGCTAGCATGACAGCCCAGCCCTCGATAGCCTCATCAGTCATCTCTGTCTCGCGCTTCAACGACGCGCGCGGCTGAGAGCGGCGGGTCGCTGAATCGCGAGCAAAGAGTCCTGGATTGGACTTGTATGTTCGGAAGAGCACTGTTTCGACATCTGCTGCGCGGCGGGTCCGCTCAGCTGCATCGGCTTCGCCGTCTGCGCCACCTGTGGCTCCGTCGATGGCGCCGCCTACGTCGGCTGTGTCGTAGGTATCATCGCGCTCGTCGTCATCTGAGTCGAAGGTTGCGAGAGCGGAGAGAATAGCTGCTTTGTTTGCAGCATGTTTGCTGTGGTCTGCGAGGATTGTGTCGGCTGTTTGGTCTGCGTTGACGCGGCCGAAGTGGAGTTTGCCTTGCGCTTCGCCGGAGCGGCTTAGTTCGGCAATGTCCACGTCTTTGTCGAAAATATTTTTTCGGGCTGGGAGTGGCGCGAAGGTTGGTGATGGCATGCTGGGTGGTGTTGGTTGGGGTGGGAGATGGCTATGAGGAGGTTCTGCTGGGGGAGGCAGTTGCTCAGATCGGTCTAGAGACTGGAGCTCTAGGGGAAGTGAGTCGTCGAGGAGGTGGGCGACGATAGTCTCGGGGTTGTCGTTGTAGAAGTCCAGTAGCCGTACAACGAATGCTGATCCAAGATCGGGGAAGAGATCTTGTACTTGAGTCACAAGCGACATCTTGTGTGCGTGAAGTTCTCCTGAAACGATCGGGTCCGAAGACACCTCTTTCCCTTTATCTACCTTCTTGCGCCTCTGATACCGATGGTGTAGTGACTTTGATTCCACTTGATAGGTGCGCAAGCTGGCAAGGAGGTCTTGCCCCCGTTTCTGGGGGTGAATGCTCAGATACTTCTCCAGCCGAATAAGCAAGTCCGAGCTGCAGATGAGATCTGAGAGTAGGGTGGCTTCCTTCTTCATTTTCGGTGCCCCCACTCGAGCAGCAGCTTTCAGGCTGAACAGCTGATCCAATAACGAAGACAAATTTACGGGCTCCTTCAATAAGGAGACCAACCCGACGTAGATGTTAGCAACGAGAATCTTACGAAACTCCTCCCGGGCACCTTTTGACTGGTAGGCTTCCGATATCGTGTCCAGGAAATCAGAGCCGGCCATCAGCACCTGGCCACATGCTGGCAGCACTGAAGCAAGGATCGTCAGACGACGGATGTCAGAAATGACTTCTGGATTTGAAGATGAGTTTGTGGAAGCGAGGTTCTTAATCACAACGGCTTTTGCTCTCTCAACACTGGAAGTGATCTTGCCCTGGTGCAGATCCCAGGCGCTTGATAATGACGTCTTCAAGGCCGCGCTAGAAGGGTAACAGCAACATAGATTTCCGAGAAGTCTCCAGTCCAGAATTCCGTCTGGTGGGTTGGAGAGATCGAGGATGTATCTTCTTGTTGCCAGAAAGCACAACTTCCGAAGCTGTCGAGCTTTAGGTCCACTTTGTAGAGTGGAATCCCCCGCCGCCGTGTATTGATAGTAAGATGCCATGAATGGTGGTATTGATGTATCTTCAGCAGCTGCAACCTTAAATTGTTGATCTGATGCATTCAGGCGGACCGCTAACAGGGCCCTCCATGCATCTAGACAAGCTTCCCAGTCATTTGATGGGATTGTCCTCCGCACTGCGGGGGAGGGCACTGGAGCCAGCGGCGGGAACTCCGCCATTGGGGCGAACTAACGTGATTATGACTGGAATATGGGAAGGATATAAAAGGAGAGAAAAGCAAGAACAAGAGAAAATACGCGCAACCACCCGTCAGCTCATGATTATCATCTCGAATTGCCATCACTCGGCGGTCTCATGTCCTCTTTGAGAGATGACATAAGCAAGCAATCAAAGGGGACCTAAAGTAGTTTAGCGTGCGATAGCCGAAGCGCCAAGACTTTCGCACTGAACTTTTTGGATATGGAATTCTCGATCCACATAACCTCAACAGCCATCATCACTTTACCGAGCCTAGTAGTTCAGGTCTTGACGGCAATCGCCTTTTAAATTGTGCGCGCTCCCTTTTTTTCTGCTCTTGAAATTCCCGAATCGAATTACTAACTCGTTTCAGTCCATACATATTCAAGATGTCTTTCCAGAAGCCCGAGAAGGATTTCGGCGAGGGCCCTGTACGTTGTCCCTGATCCAATGGTCACTGTCGCACAATCGCTATTGCACCTCGCTGTCGCTGTCGCTTTGTGCAATGTGTCCATGGACCTCGCCAATTGAAGCTATGTACTAATTGCTTCTCTTCCGCTCTACAGAAGGTCCACAAGATCCGCATCACCCTCACCTCCCGCAAGGTTGCCTCCCTCGAGAAGGTCTGCCAGGAGCTGATCGACCGTGCTCGCTCCAAGTCCCTCCAGGTCAAGGGCCCCGTCCGTCTGCCCACCAAGACCCTCCAGATCTCCACCCGTAAGACCCCCAACGGTGAGGGTTCCAAGACCTGGGACAAGTTCGAGATGCGCATCCACAAGCGTCTCATCGAGTAAGTTTTTCCCTACCCTATTGAATCGCGGCACTATCGCCGCAGCACCTAGCAGATGCAGTTGCTGACATTTTTCTTAGTCTCCTCGCCCCCACCGAGACCGTCAAGCAGATCATCATCAACATCGAGGCCGGTGTTGAGGTTGAGGTCACCATTGCCGCATAAATGCGCTAGGCTGGGCTTGCCTCAGGGAGGGATCGTGGACTGCCCAATTTGGAGTGCACAGCGCGACTTTGGAGCCGGTTCTGGCCCGCATGACTTATTTCGCGCTGCGGGGGATTCCGTTCGTACCTGAAAATTTAAAAATAAAAAATGGAAACATCTTGAAACACAACATACTCTCAGGTGGTCTGTAAACCGTAGATTGGTTCATTAAAGGTGAAGATTAAGCACTTGCAATTGCTACATTCGTAAATTGAGTATTGTTGTGCTCCTAAGCGCCATTCCCCCTGTTCCGCACGCCTGGAACATGTTGCTTGTGTGTGAAAACGATATGCACATCATCTCAACCCATGAGACGTGTGGTAAAATAACAAACGAAAAGAAGAAGACAAAGACAAATAAATGCTAGCTCGGCTTTGGAGTTTAAAAGTCGAAACTGAGCCATTCCTGCTTGGGAGGTACTGCAGGAATGTTGCCATCCTTGAAGTAACCATTTTGAAGGAAAAACTGATATGCCTCAGTGACTTCTGGGGTATATTCCTCAGGCTTGCCATGTGCGTCTTTCAGACTAGCTGGATCGGGGGGCCGTTAGGGAAGCTGATTCGGACAAATGTTTTGTTGTCTTGTGGGTGAAGGTAGCACGGGTGCTCGTTGATGTACTTCACCGGACGCCCCTTCCACATCACTAGCTGTTTGTTGGATGGATTATGTCGAGTTTCGCCCTCCAGTTGTGGAAGGGGGTTGAGGTCTTGAGGATTGTCGATTTTGATGTATGCACGCGGGCCGGCGTTGGTAGTCTGCACCGGCACGCCTTGGACTGCAGGCTGGCCGAATGGAGACGGGGCAGGTTGTTCGGCAGGTTGACCAAACCCGCCGGCAGCAGGCTGGTTCTGGGATACTTGTGTGAAGGGGGAAGCGGCGGGTGGAGCACCGAATGGGGCGGCGGCTGCTGGGGCTGAAGGTTGACCGAATGGCGAGGCGCCTACTGGGGCTGAGGGCTGACCGAATGGTGAGGCGCCTACTTGGGCTGATGGTTGGCCGAATGGGCTCGGGTTGGCAGCTGGCTGGCCAAATGGCGACGGGCCAGATTGTGCAGCGGCTTGACCGAACGGCGACGGAGCAGCTTGCCCAGCGCTCTGGCCAAACCCACCAGCAGCAGGCTGGTTCTGAGCTAGTTGGGTGAAGGGAGAAGCACCAGGTGGAGCACCGAATGGGGCGGCACTTCCTGGGACAGATGGCTTACCGAATGGACTCGGGTTAATTCCTGGCTGAGAAGGAGCTGGTTGGCCGAAAGGTGTTTTGTTGAAGGCAGACTGTCCTCCCAGGGTGGAGGTTTGGCCAAAGGCGGAGCCACCCAAGGCAGAAGTCTGTCCGAAAGCCGTGGACTGGCCCATACCAGACGGCTGTGCCGGTGCTGAAACTTTACCGAACCCAGCTGCCTGGCCAAGTCCTGAAGCCTGGCCAAAGGTCGAGGAAGGAGCGCCGAACGCCCCAGGCGCAGGGGTAGGGGCGACATTTTGCTGGCCAAACGGAGAGGGTTGGCCAAATGGCCCTGGAGCTTGGCCCATACTAGTCTCGGTCTTGCCCTCAATGATGTCAAGTCGATTGGGATGTTCATTCCTGCCATCAACGACATATTTGACGGCACCATTCAGGTCATTCAGTGATATCTCCATCTGCTGCACACACTCTTGCCATAAAGCCGAGGCTTCTTGGACCGCTTCGTTCAGGTTGCCAGCCGCTGCCAATTCATAATGGCGCAGGCGCATCTCTTCCATACTGCGCTCGCGGTGAGCACCACCGAACAGCTGACGTGCAACATCTTTGTGGGGCGCGTATGCGGAGAAAATCCATTCCGGACGTCCCTGCCCTGCAGTCAAGTCTGCCTTGATATCGCTTGGCCTCACTGCAGCGCTGTCTTTTGTCAGTTTTGAGTCCACTCAAGGCACTGGGAATGTGACTTACTCGGCTGCTTGTTGAGCCTGGGTTTGACCTGTCGTAAAGTTGCTGTTAGGCTTTGAAAAAAGGCTAGCTCGAAAGGGCGCATGGTTCATGGGATCTATCACGGCTTTGGGCAGGGAAATACCTCTTGCGCCTCGATATTTGAAGTTGATTGGGGTAAACGCAGAACAGGGAAGAAGGTAGAAGCAGGAGAAAGAGATTGGTGGGGAACAAATGAACTTAGAGATCGAACATGTAATCTCAGGATACAATAGACATCCAATAAATGGGCTCTCCAATTGAGCCGAGCTAAATCAAAACAATTCAATTGAACGTACCTCCAAACCCTCCGGATAAGGCACCGAATCGGTTCCCCGATGGACCAGCAGTAGGTTTGCCAGGATGCTCGAACTTGCAGCGATCTGAAACTAAATTAGCGACTTGATTTCTCTATGCTCGAGGGACTCATACCTCCGAACTTGCAGCGACCCTGCTGAAAAAAGCTGCATACCACCATCTTCGCGGTTTTGGTGTTTGCTCAACTGCTCCCCTTCAATGCAAGGCCTGTATATTGACGACCTCTCTCAAATGAATATGCGTCCTTCGAGATCCGATCAAGCAATTTGAGAGAAAAGCAAGAATAGGGTTGGTTGTCGCGAAGAGAGAAACAATGAACTCCTGTGGTTGGGACTTTTCACGGAATTGGTCCGTATCTTATCGGAACGCCTGCAAAGCGATCCCAGCACTCTTGTATAGCACGATTCTTTAATATTCAAGGGTATGAGATTGGATTTTTATCAGTTTTCTCTTTGCTTCGAGATGAGATTAAACAGGATTTGAGACTTAGATCCTCATTTGCTCGGTGCAGCCTACGTAGTGGATGTAATCTGATTAACAACCCTTTGAAGAGTTATATATATTGGCATGGGACGCTAACCAAGTCTACCATTTACTTGATGAATTAGTCAAGCACGTTTACAAGGCCATTTAAAACCATTAAAACCATTAGATCTGATTGCTATTTCAATTTTGAGTAATCAATTAACATTGAATCCAGTATGGATCACTCGTTGGGTATATCATCTACGTGTGTCGTATGCTCCCCCGAAGGTCATCCCAATTCAACCCATCAACCTTTTTGCCACCCAAGGATTCAAGCTCGGGGTTGAGTTCACCAGTTCGGCCAGTTGCAAGGCGTCGCATCATCACAGTATCCTTAGCTCCAGGAAGGGTACTGGCATTGCCCTGCAGTAAGACATGCTCAAACCACAGTTCCTCATCCTCGTCGAGCGGAAGACCAACGAGTTCCATCGCACGTTTGCTTCTGGTTTGACCAGGGGTAGTCTTGTGAACAAATTCCACCAACTGCTCAAAAAAGCTCTGACGGAGAGTATCGTCGTACTTGCGCGTGAAGTAGAATGCCTCCGTGACGTTGGATCGGGCGAGTGTGTCGAAGAAAGCTTTGCGGATCTTTGCGCTTGCAAGAGGAGGGGCCGCAGTGAGGTAGTATGCGATTGCGAGGCTGTCATCATGCTTGGGAAGTTTTGTGAGGGTAAGAACGTAGAGGATCTCATCCGGAAAGGTAGGAATGAGTGAGGGTTCAGCAAGATACTCGACGGCTCGCTATTAACCATGTAATTGTTAGAAGATGGCCGCTTGAAAAGATCGTTCCCAACTCACCCTGAAATCGAGTCGATCCAAATGCCAAAGACCTTCAATGAAGAAACGGTACTTTTCCGGGAGGTGACATTGTTGCGCAAATTGAGACGAAGCTTCCGGCGCAGTGCGACAGTCCTTGAGGATGTAATATATCAAGGACTGTTTGTGATGGATATCGAGTTCCGAAGAAACGATGTGATTGAACAGTGTTCGGAGATCTGAATTGGACTTGGGAGGATAGATCTTGGTCACTACAGAGAAGTGGTTGATTAGCACGAGGCTTCAAGCGCACAGCTTCAAGTCACAATACCTCCTTGGATGCCGAGGAGTCCTAACAGTCGATCGGCAAAGAGCTGGTCCAACGAGCGCCGGCTTGAGAGAATCTGGTCAAAAACCTTTGGCTCATATGAATATTTCTTATTAAATGAGAAGACTTGGTCGAAATTCTCCCATGGAGCCATGCTGGGCATACTGAGGGGAAGTGATAGGTTATGTGAACAATTCCCAAGCCGATCTCCATGAAGCTCCGCGGAGGAGTAATTACCGTACGGTAAATTACAGCGGGATATGGCGGTGAAGGGCTTGTTGTGGCAGAACAGCGGGCACTTTACCCGTTTGGGCACGAGGTAAACAACCCACTTTCAACCGACAAAACCTCCGTCAAAACATTATCGCCCCTCTCCATGCAGCAGACATCCCACTGATCTGCACAACATGGCTTCAGTCGTCAAGGGCAGGGCTTCGCGCCGCTCTGCTCCCCGTCGGAGTTACGTCATTGAGGATACATCTGAATCGGAGGACCCCGGAAATGTGACACCAACACCCGATGCGCGCGATGACGATGATGAAATGGAGGAGGATTACACCCCAGTCCCTAAGAAAGTAAAGAGGGGATCGAGCAAAAGAATGACACTAGACCCTGTGACACCTTCTACTGTGCGCGCTGCCAGCAAGACCCAAGAAGCGACAACAGATGATTCCGATGCGATGGACACCGATGCAATGGATACGGACGCGATGGACACTGATGCGATGGACATCGACGAAGAGAATGACGAGAATGACGAGGGCGCTAGTATGGCGTCGATGGAAGGCGACCCCGAATCTCCTTCTAGTAAAGCGGCGTTGAAAAGAAAAAGTATGGCTCATCCCCGCAAGAGTCACGGCTCAATCACACCCAAGCCGGCACAGGGCTCACTCCCAACTCCAGAGCCATCCCAATCGCCAGAGCCTCAAGAAAGAGTGCAACGAGCAAGCGTGCCACCTTTGTCCGACATCACCGAATCCACCGTGAATCAGTCGCCATCGAAACAATTGGAAGAGCCCAAATCTCAGATTTCCATTATAAACCCGAACTCGACAGTCTTGGAGAGGCCGATGGACATTGTGGCCAAGTCCAGAACGCAGGCCCCTCAAGCGCCAGAGGAGCCTGCTGCGCCTAAGCCCCGAATGATCATTGAGAACCTTATTCTGACAAACTTCAAGAGTTACGCCGGCCAGCAGATTGTTGGTCCATTCCACGCCTCCTTTTCGTCTGTGGTTGGACCGAACGGCTCCGGAAAGTCTAACGTGATTGACTCGCTCCTATTCGTGTTTGGCTTCCGCGCCAGCAAGATGCGACAGGGCAAAATCTCCGCGCTGATCCATAACTCTGCTCAGTACCCCAACCTTGCCTTTTGTGAAGTGGAGGTTCATTTCTCACAAGTCCTCGATTTGCCCGATGGTGGCCAGGAAGTGGTCCCAGATTCCCAACTAATTGTTTCGCGACGAGCGTTCAAGAATAACACCAGCAAATACTACATGAACAAAAAGGAGACCAATTTTACCGCTGTGACTACCTTCCTCCGTGATCGTGGAATTGATCTTGATCACAAGCGATTCCTGATTTTACAGGGTGAGGTTGAGTCGATCGCTCAGATGAAGCCAAAAGCCTCCAACGAACATGACGAAGGCCTCTTGGAATATTTAGAAGATATTATCGGAACCTCCAAGTACAAGACACCTATCGATGAAGCGGCAACCGAACTCGAAGGTCTCAACGATGTATGCGTGGAAAAGAACAACCGTGTCCAGCATGTGGAGAAGGAGAAGGCGGCCTTGGTGGATAAGAAAGACAAAGCTCTGGCTTACATCCGCGAGGAGAACGAATTGGCACAGAAACAATCGGCCCTCTATCAGATCTATATTGATGAGTGCGCCGATAATGTTCGTGTTACTGAAGAGGCCATCCTCCAAATGCAGGAGCTTCTGAACATGGAACTCGAGAAACACGAGGGAAATGAATCCGGCATCAAAGAGCTCGAAAAAGCCTACAAAAAGGGGGTTCGTCATTACGAGTCGATAGAGAAGGAGACTCAAAGCTTGCTTAAGGAGATGGCCAAGTACGACAAGGAGTCTGTTAAATTTGAGGAGAAGAAGAAATTCTTACTCGGCAAACAAAAGAAGCTAGAGAAAGCCATGCAGACCAGCCGTCTTGCTGCTTCTGAATGCCAGAGCTTGGTCGAGAAGTTTACCTACGACATTGAAAAAAGACTGCCGAAACCACTCAATTCGAGAAGGAGATGGTGTCAGAAGAGAAGGAACTGAACTCAATTCGTGAAGGGCTCAAAGGGAAGACGCAAGGCCTATCTGATCAGATTGCCGAGAAGCAGAAGTCACTAGAGCCATGGAATGCGAAAATCAACGAGAAACAGTCCGCAGTCGCAGTTGCTCAGAGTGAGCTGGATATCTTGCGCGAGCGTGGTAATGCTGGTGCGGTCCTCCTCGAAGAGGCACAGGGCAAAATTGTTACAATCGAAGAAAGTCTGCAAGCCAAGCAAAACGATCTCGAGGAGCGACAAGCCCAGAAAGAGACCTTGGAGTCTGAAGTGGAGAAGCTCAAACATGACTTGAAGAAATACGCGGGCCGTGAGCCCGAGGTTCGTTCGCATGTCTCAAGTGCCCGCCAGAAAGCAGAGGAGGCACGCGTTAGTCTTGCAAGCACACAAAACCGCGGAAGTGTCTTGACTGGTTTGATGCGTCTCAAGGAGTCTGGCCGTATCGATGGTTTCCATGGCCGACTAGGTAACCTGGGAACAATTGACGAGAAGTATGATGTCGCCATTTCTACAGCTTGTCCTGCTCTCGACAACATGGTGGTGGAAACTGTCGAAGTTGGCCAACAATGCATCGACTATTTGCGCAAGAACAACCTTGGACGAGCGAACTTCATTCTTCTTGACCGCCTCCCCCGTCGTGATATGTCCACGATCTACACACCTGAAAGCGTTCCTCGTCTCTTTGATCTCGTCAAGCCGAAGGACCCCATGTTTGCCCCAGCTTTCTACAGCGTGATGCAAAACACGTTGGTTGCGAAGGACCTGGAGCAAGCGAATCGGATTGCCTACGGTGCTCGTCGTTGGCGAGTGGTGACGGAAGACGGTCAGTTAATTGATGTGTCAGGAACAATGAGTGGTGGTGGCACCCGTGTCGCCCGAGGCGGTATGTCTTCAAAGCAAGTCGCAGACACCACAAAGGAGCAGGTGTCTCGCTTGGAGTCAGATCTCGAAGAACTGGAAAGGAAATTCCAGGCTTTCCAGGAGAAACAGCGTCACGTGGAAGCTCAGATGAAGGAAAGATCAGAGGAAATCCCACGCTTGGAGACTAAGATCCAAAAGATTTTGATCGAGATCGACAGCACCAAGCGCAGTCTTGCTGATGCCCAGCGACGCGTAAAGGAGCTGGGTGCACAGCACCAACCCTCTGATTCGGATGAAGGCCAAATTGCTGCTCTCGAGAAACAGATAGCCAAAGCCCCAAAAGGAGATCGCTAAACTTAACGACGGGAAGAGCGGTATCGAGGAAGAGATCCAGAATTTGCAGAGCACGATTATGGAGGTCGGTGGTGTTCGCCTTCGCGGCCAAAAGGCGAAGGTGGATGGCTTGAAAGAGCAGATTGGTATGCTTGCCGAGGAGATTTCAAACGCGGAGGGGCAGCAGTCCAAGAACGAAAAACTCATCAAGAAGCACACCAAAGCCCGTGATGTTTCAGAGAAGGAGATTGCTCAGATTACCGACGAGTTGGAGAAACTAGAAGAAGATGTTGCCAACCAGACCAATGAATCTGCCGACTGGAGACAGAAGGCTGATGAAGCCCAGGAGGTAACTTATCCAAGACCCTCGAGTATACTGAATTTATATGCTGACCATCCTTAGGCTTTGGAATCTAAGAAGGGCGAGCTGAAGGCCATGAAAGACGAGCTTGACGCGAAGGTGGCTGAGCTCAATGAGACGCGAGCTGCTGAGATCGAGATGCGCAATAAACTGGAAGAGAATCAGAAGGCCTTGGCCGAGAACCAAAAGCGCAGTCGTTACTGGGAGGAGAAGCTTTCAAAGCTGACCGTCCAGAACATCAGCGATATCGGTGAAGAGCAGGAGCCTACAGAGCTTCAGATGTACACCAAGGATGAGCTAGAGGCTATGAATAAAGATTCTCTGAAAGCTGTTATTGCTGCTTTGGAGGAGAAGGTTCAAAATGCCTCTATCGATTTGTCAGTCATTGAGGAGTACCGTCGTCGAGCTGCCGAGCACGAATCGCGCTCCGCGGATCTGACCACCGCTTTGACAGCACGAGACGGCGCCAAGGCACGCCTGGACGGCCTTCGATCCTCTCGCTTGAATGGGTTCATGGAAGGATTTGGTATTATCTCGTTGCGTCTCAAAGAAATGTACCAGATGATCACCATGGGCGGTAACGCTGAGCTGGAGCTTGTTGACTCGTTGGACCCCTTCTCGGAAGGAATCTTGTTCTCGGTCATGCCTCCTAAGAAGAGCTGGAAGAACATTGGTAACTTGTCTGGTGGCGAGAAGACTCTGTCCAGTTTGGCGCTGGTCTTCGCTCTTCACCACTACAAGCCTACTCCGCTCTATGTCATGGACGAGATTGATGCCGCCCTGGATTTCCGAAACGTAAGTTGGTCTTATATGATGACGGACACGTGTGCTAACTTCCTTTTTAAGGTTTCCATTGTCGCCTCGTACATCAAGGAGCGAACAAAGAATGCCCAATTCATTGTCATTTCATTGAGAAACAATATGGTAAGTGCCATTGATTTTCGTTTCCAAGTTGACATAGCTAACATGTTCTCTAGTTCGAGCTTGCTGCCCGACTTGTGGGTGTCTATAAGGTTAACCACATGACCAAGAGTGTAACGATCGAGAACCGAGATTATATTACGGGTCGATAATGATTGAAAATGACCGTGTTGTGGTTCTTGACTTTCAGGCTCTTACCTGAATGAGTAGGGTTGTATGCTGCTGTTTTCAATGATATCATGGGTCGGGGAGTTTTGGACATCTTTCTTTACAATTATGATCGTGCACTTTAGAAATGAGAACTTGAGTCATGTTTACATATATATTTCTCTTTATTGGTTTTACATAACTGGATTAGTATTCACATATACCAAACAACCTCCATATATCTATCTTCGGTGCATTCAATACAAGTCGCTGTGACATAATATGCAATCGGAGTAGTCAAAAACAGCATAACATTGGCTGCATCGTCAACAGTACCCGGCCGTATAAGAGGGATATCTGACGTATCCCTAAACGGGCTGACAAGGCCTGAAGTGAGGAGCCGCTGGTTAAGGCCGAGGAGCCGGGGAGCAATTTGATGAAAGTTGGTTCAACTGAGAGCAAGTTGGTTGTCAATATTAACAAAAGTTCGACGTACACTACACCTGCCAACCACGTCTTCTTAGCCATGAGAGGCCAGATGAAACTCGGTGACCACCATGCTACAAAACAAGAGAAGTCTGAGAATCCAAACTTTCCTTAACATCCTGGATCCAACTGAATACATACACATGGAGGCTTCTCACTGCAGCTGAAGTTATAGCCCAGAGTCCATTCATATCTTGATAACAACCTTGCCTATGTGCTTTCCCGAGTAGAGGTAGTTGAAAGCATCCTTTGACTCATGGAAAGAGAAGATACGGTCAATAATTGGGCTGATGGCGACCTTCTTCTCTTCTAAAAATTGGCAGAGATTTTGGAAATCTCTCTTTGAGCCTGCCGTGATTCCCCTGCTGCCATGTCAGCTATTCATCGGCTGCAGGAACTTGCTTGAAGCCAGTAGAGAAAATGACCTACTTCAATTTGGCGCTCTTCCCCATCAGTGCCATGATGGCTGATGGCTCCCACTCTGTTGCGTAGCCCGCCAGGAAGCCTACAAGAGACACAGTGCCACCTCTCCTACGTAGGAGTCCGATATCATGTGGGATAGACCCAGGTCCTGAGTTATTGATGACGATGTCAACACCCCTACCGTTTGTAAGACCTTGAACTTGTGCTGCTTGATCAGGCGTGGTCTTATAGTTGATACCCTCGACTCGTGATCCCAGCTTCTTAATGCTTTCGATCTTCGCGTCAGAAGAGGACGTGATTATGGACTGAAGACCAGCAGCTTCGCAGAGTAAAACTGCGAACATGCTTACACCACCAGTGCCTATCTTGAGTCAGAGAGATCAGTCTTATTAATAGAGCTGGTCGTCTAACCTTGTAAGAGAGCGCTGCCAGTTTTAGACGATTCAGGCAGTGCGTCGAGCGCAGTCCAAGCCGTAAGCCCAGCACAAGCCAACGTGGAGCCCTAATTGAAAACTTAAATTGATGCGATATCACACAGGTTAAGTTGGGATATATACTAACCTCCTCCCATGATAGATAGTCGGGAATCTTGACTAAATATCTGTCTTCATAGACAGCATATTCACGGAGAACACCAGCAGTATCCCCACCAAGAGCGTTGATTGGTGTGTCGTCATTCCCCGTGAGATTACCGAGGTCACATATCGGTGAGACATGGTCACCAACAGAGATGCCTTCGACAGCTGGTCCGGTCTTTACTACCTCGGCGGCACAGTCCGAGCACGGTATACCGCGATCCTCAACCTCAACCGGGTACCTCCCATGTAACATACCCACATCACGGAAATTGAGGGAGACGGCATGGATTCTGATAAGCACCTCATGGGAGCTGAGATCCACTTGAAGCACTTCTGTCGACGGCTCAATAGTTCGAGGTAGTGCACCCGCAGTGCGCCTGAAGGCCGCATATGTTGAGGGGAACGACATGATGGTTAAGCTCGTGGCTGGAGGCGAATCCAGTGAGAGTGATAAAATGGATGTTGCGAGGACTTGTTTCTAGCCGGACCAAATATTTATGTACAATAAGTGCCACTTTAAGACATCATTTTTGCATTTGTAATAACATGACCTCGATTGAGTACGGTATGTCAGCATTACAATAGCAACCCCCCAAGCGGACTTGCGGGATTTCTTACATCCAATGCTGATCTGCCTGACCTACGCCGAAGCACAAGCATTTAAACGCGACTTAACAATTATAGTGGCAAATGATGAAGCCATTCAATTGGAGTGAAATCGACACTGCAACTTTCCTACATTATCTCGTATGGTCTGGGGCTTTATTGGCGTGTTGGCGGAAGAAACGAATGTAGAACACCTATTTACCAGAGCAAATTTCTTACTGTCAGAGCAATATTAAAATTTACAGGATTTGATGCTTGAGATGCAACTGTGTATGCATAGCTGGTCATGCAATAGAAGGAACAATGCTGCACATAAAAATGGCCTTGTCTAACAGTATTAGCTTACCAATTAGCCAAATAAACAAGCAAATTAAACAAGACGCTTCATCGTCCTTCAACTCCTAATTGATCCCACCGGTCGGTGGGTGAGTGGGTAGTCTATTCGGCCGGATGCCCTGGCAGGTGGGCTCTGTCACTCACTCAAGGCCAGACATATCACGGTTCGCTAGTTCCGTATTAGGCGATGGGCGAAGCATTGCTACGATCGAGAAATGAATGACTTCGACCACTCCAACCCAACCGTGACTGTATGTTCTCGAAAGCCTTAGCGATCCTCCTGCTCGAGCCGCAAGGAGATGGGACATATCTCCGTGGCAATCATGAATCTGCGGACGATATAGATGTGTTGCACATTGTAGATTGAGGGTGCATCCCATTACTATTCTGTTAGTGCACCAGGTCCAGCTCTTGCTTTTGATTTTTGCGCATTTTACGGAGTTTGGCAGCCGATATGATGGAAGCTACGGAGAAATAAACTAAACTTGCGTATTCACCACTCTCTTATCGTGTAAGTCACATAAGCACCCTACAGGCGGAAACAGAAAGGGAAGAGAGAAAAGAGGATTTGCCGCTAATGCACGCTCCAAGGTTGATGACAGCCGAATAAATAAACTTTCACACTAAGTGGGGCACAATCGGCCAACCATCCCTTTTGGGAACATATGAGGCGGAGATGAACAAGTAGACGTACAGTGATACTTGAAATCAATTTTACTCAATTCTCATATTCTTTATCTCCTAATGACGGTCCCACTTCAAGCGTACTAGTCCATATCAGGATATCAGGATATTATTCTGCGGGATAGATTCTGCTTGGAAGGGGTTGGAAATAAAGCAGCTAAAATCACGTGTCTCATAGCAGAGGACTTTGCAGAACTGTAATCGTTCCCCACGATTGAAAGATTTCTAAGCCTGCCCAGGTGATTCCTAAGCTTGATTTCTAAGCCTGATTCTAAGTCTGATTCTAAGTTGTATATATAAGGTAGACTAGACTTCTAATCTATACTTAAAACAGAAACGAAGTTCCTAGAAGAAACTGAAAAGCGAAAACCATCCCCTCATCTGCCTACTTCGACTCTGACTCAACAGAGCCAATCCCGACACAAAATGACGAGAAATGAGACATCCAGAGTTGCAAATACGTCGCTGGCATCATTGGCCATGGACATCGATCCAACATATCCGGGCACGATCATAAGAGTGGCGCTCGCTGGCGAATCCGTTCTCAACATATTTTTCTTCGGACTACCGTACATCTTTTCTCCACATTCAACCCTGAGACGCCACTTTTTACCTGAATCCACCACGAATGCTGGCGCATGGCCTTCTGCTGAAGCCTCTTCCCTTATGCAGTGGCTCGGCACACCCATGTTGGCCATAACGGCCGTGATGTTGCTTGCAATTCCCAACAGGTCGGGAGCTATTGAAGCAAGGCGGATTGTGTACATTTTGTTGGCCGTGCTAGAAGCCATGTGGATTGTACTTGTACTATGGCAAGCGTGGGCTGCAGGCGAGGATGCTAGTGGCCTGCGTTCTTCGGCATTGATGTATTATATGGCTGTGCCAATGACCGGATGGCTACTTTTCAGGTCCTGGGTATTATTCATGAAGCCAGACTGGATGGGAAGATATCGGGCAAAGGTCAATTAGCAGGAGGCCGTTCGGGCTTCCTGGCCATGTTTAGTAAGGCTTCGAGTGCGTCAAATGGGTGGCCAATGCTTGACAGACAGAAGTACTCAGTGAAAGCCAAGAAGCAGACGCTATAATGGCCAGTCTTTTACCAACCGTACACCTCCCAGATCCCAATATACATCTATCTCGAAAATATCCCTCAAGCTGTAGCGTGGTTCTTATTCATCCACCGGTCACCTCTTTCAATTCCCACGATCTCGCATTAGCATTAGATAATAAGACTATTTGGATCTGAGACCTGACTACTAGTTAGTGCTCATTAACCATTGGATCGAGCTGCGGTGAATCGGCCGAACATACCGCAATTCCATCCATCTCCTGGGTCAACGAAACTGCACTGAGCATTCGAACTCCTCAGGCAGCCCTGGTTCCTAGAGGTTAGTTAGACCTGTGGGATATCGTGATGCATCTGAAGTTAGATATCACAAACACCGGAAACTTTGGTGGTGTTGAAGGCGCTCAGCTATACGTGAGCTTCCCCGATGAGGCTGAGCAACCCATGCATCAATTGCGTGGCTTTTAAAAGATATTCCTTCGGAAGGGAAATTCTGGCACTGTCGGTTTCACCAGGGTCATGTAATATATGTTCCTGCCTGATTTTTCAAGCTAACTAGTGCCTGCTTTGTTTGGTCTCTCCTTCTTCCCTCGCTATGATTGTCCTCTCCTGCTCAGATTACCTCTTATCTTGCAATGGGACTCATTGATTGACCTTCTTCACCATTTAATACCCCTCGTGTATACTATGGAACCACGGTGATAAACCAGTTAGAAGCCTAGAAGAAAATTTCAATAAAAGCAAATTATTGCTAATTAAAGAAGCCAAAACTAGATGAGCTCGTAACGCAGTTCCAAGTAAGCTGGCCAACCCCTGTATTGTAATTGAGCCAACACATCCACCATTTAAGTACAAAGGGCTATCCGAGAGAGCGAGATAGCCATAGATTCATTCAATGGCTATTGTTTCCATAGGAAGCAATCTATTCATTAGTCATACTCGCAGCTCGTCCTCAGACCATCAACATTCCTCCGTTGGAATTTATGACGGATGCCGTCAAGTTGTAGTCTTTCATGCAGTACACATAAGCTTCTGCAACATCTTCAGCTTGCCCAATGGCCCCCGTCACAGAAGTACTACCGATAGCATCAATGCCTCTCTTACGCTCCTCAGGAGTAGAGTACCAGCGAGCTATGAGGTCTGTGTCAACGGGGCCAAGGCAGACCAGGTTTACGCGCACTGGCTTCATTTCCACCGCCAAACTTCGAACCATGCCCTCCAATGAGCCGGTATAGGCTCCCAGCGCATTCCAATTGGGGTAAGGACGATAGGCGCTGATTCCGGAGGTGAACGAAATACTGGATGCAGGGCCCGGTGCCATGTGCTTCATCGCATGTTTTGCTATCAACAATGGGGCAAAGAAGCGCACTAGGCCAGTTTCTTTGATGAAAGTGAAGTCGATTTCCGATAAAGGCTTTGGGTTTGGGTGATCACCAGCAGTAAAAATGACATGATTTAACTGCCGAGTTCCTTCCAACGTCGCGGCTTTGAAAAGACTTTCGATGTTGGATTCAAGTAGGCTCTCTTGCTTCAAGTCGCACGCAAAGCCAGTGATTTCGCAAGCAGTCGATGGGTATGACTCGCGAAGGCGCGAGGTGGAGGCGGAAACACGATCAAGGTTGGAACTTGAAAGAATGACTGAAGCAGCGCCATATTCAACCACAGCTTCGGCGACAGCGTAACCAACACCAGCAGTCCCGCCAATGATGAGGATATTTGCTCCAGCAAGTTTCGAGATATGTTTGTTCACAGGCGACATTTTGAAGGTGACGAAATAATCTTTTTGAATAAGGGAGTCGTTCGTTTCAGATTCGCGTCCGTGGTGAAATATCCGCCAATTGGGAAAAATAAAGTATTCATTCTGGACCGGATAGACCCTGAATTTATCTACATGCAGTCCCCATCACGATCGATTCATTTCATACTTCGCTGGTCACAAAGGCTTACAAACTCCTCATGACTGCTTATAAACACTGAACTTATGATCTACCGGATAGAAGATTGATAAAATCTAAAACGTTGAAATACAAGTATTGTGACCGGCTACCCTCTCTCCGGTGGCGTAGGCTCCGCCATAGAGCCGCAGCAACCAATCATATGTACTAGATAAGGGCCGCTTTCGAGTCCACATACTTAGACGCAGATGGGTGTACATTCCGACCTGAATATTTCATGACTCAAAATATACGATCCATGGATATTAGTTTCCTAGCTTACCAATTCACGTCATCCTCTTATATATAACAAAGACAAACCTCACCAAACTTCGCTCTCTTTTTATTACAAAATCAGAACACCCCTTTTTCACTCACAAGCTCCATCTTCGTCTCTTACTTTATCTCCTTGATCTTGCTCCACACATATTTGAAGACGTGTTGGAAATGGTTGTCGTAGCCGTTGCAGGTGGTACCAGTGGCCTTGGCCTGACTATTGTGCAAGCCTTGAAAGTTCAAGGGAAACATGAAGTTCTTGTCTTGAGCCGAAAGGTGAGATGATCCTCGAGAATTTACCTCTAATTGTTCAGTAGCTCATTATAAGCAGGAAAACACAGAACTTGGAAAAAAGCTTGGAGCTCTTGTTGTCGCCATTGATTACAGGAACGTCAACTCTATCGAATCGGCTTTGGAAGCCAACAACGTCGACACTGTTATATGCACGATCAATTCCCAGGACGATCTTGAACCGGAGCGAAATTTGATCCTTGCTGCGGACAGATCGCCTGTTACAAGAAGGATTATACCTAGTATTTTTGCCGGTTTTACCTATCCCATCAAGTAAGCATCTTTATGAATTGGGAAAGGGGAGCAAAAACTAATTCCCCCTCAGATACCCAGACAGTTCCCCTGTTGCGAAAGCCAAAGCTGAAGCTATTAAGACCGTCAAAAAGACATCATTGGAGTACACTGCGATCTACAATGGTATATTCCTTGATTACTATGCTGCACCGCAATTGAAGGCCAATATACCACCTTGGCCATTGTTTGTTGATATCCTCCACGAATCAGCGGCAGTCCCAGGCTCAGGGGATGATCTCGTCGTTTTCACTCACAGCACCGACATCGCTAAGTTCGTTGTTTCGAGCTTAGATCTTCCAAAATGGCGAGAGGAAAGTTATATTCTGGGAGAGAAATTCACATGGCATGAGTTTATCAAGCTGGCAGAGGATGCAAAAGGTATATAACAACTCTATTTCATCCTGAAAATATCTGCTGACAGGCCCATATTAGGATCCAAGTTTAACGTGATACATGACTCCGAGGCAGACTTAAGGGCCGGAAGAGTTTCAATGCTGCCTAGTTACAGCAAAATGTTCCCACTCCCTGAAGCTGGTATTCAAGCTTTGCTCTCCACTGCTGGAATGTGGTTCGTGAATAAAGAGCTTGATTTGAATCCCCAACATGCGTTGAACAATGATTTTCCAGAAATCAAACCGATGAAGGTGAAGGATTTCTTGGAATCGTCTTGGAAGGGCACTGATGCAACGGGATCGGATGTTAAGATGTAACATATATCAATTGAAAATTGGTTGATATCGGCTTTTTATTCCCAGATGTAATTTCGGATGCCTTGTTTCAATGTTTTAACCCTGCCCTCAGCATTGAATTTCCTTCCCCACTCTCCACGTTGAGGTTTTGTATCGAACAATGATGGAGGCCCAATCAAGCCAGTTGATATTTGTGGATCGCGGGAAATATCGAATCAGCATTCATAGTACTCTGTATGTCTTCTAAAGTAATCGGCCGCGTTTTATCCGAGAAATGCCGTGGCAAATCGCTACCTAACAATCTGAGACCTATGCTATATATTTCTACTAGCACAATATCTAGACCAAGGGGCAAGGAGTTAAAACCAAGGTTTCAGCTATGCAGGAAAGGGGCAGAGCCTATGCAAGGCTTAATTTAAGCCGAAAGCCGAACGACGAGGCAGGCTTTTTGCCTTCTTTTTGTTTATCTGCATAGATCGTCATCCAAGTTTCCCCCTGCTTGCTTAGTGCTGCTAATTTTGGGACTTCCATTTCCAAAAAAGCTCTAGAATCCGCTAGCATGTCGTCAACCGTAGCATTTCCACAGACCCTTGCCGATCAATCTTATCTTCACAAATACAGCCATAATATATCTTCTCTACTATATAAATCCTTGCTAACAACTCATTCGCATGCACGATTTCAAGGATGTCCCTTATGGAGTACGGAATCACCGGAAACAGCGACGCTGGTGCCGCAAACTCCTGGCTCTTATGGTAAATGCTTGGGACCTATCCCATCGTCACGCATGACGTGTCAGTTCTTATTTTCCATCGTCGCCGTAGTTTCCGGATCCCAATGTAATAAGCAATTGAAAAAATAGACAATTTTACATCCCCACGACCAGCTTGGAGAGCAGGTATTGCATGTAGAGTGTTAAAATTAATGGTGAACGGCCAGAAAGAAAACTGGTTCGAACACGATGATGTTATGACGAATGGTGGCACGATTACATGTGAGTCTGGAAGAATGCGAAGGCGTGGGAGAGTAGTGAGGTCCCGCCTTCTCCAGGACACGTGCAGTTGGACAAGGGTTGGCCTTTGGGTGTATTAAGTTGTAGAGTGGGCTGGATAATGCTTTACGCTTAAGTCTGTCCAAGCTGAGCCGCAATTTTATTACCTGCAATCACCACATACATCCAAACATACTACCAAGGTAATTCATTTAGTCTTATTTAGTCTCTCGGGAGTTTTCTGGGCATTTGTCCACCACATGGCCCGAGTCGCCCGTTGCATTTCTTTTCCGCTTATTATGATAACAAGACTTTTCATGTGTGACATGCATACCTAGGCAAATGCATGTGGGTTTGCTGCAAGGCTTGGTACCCCGTACAGCCGGCGCTCTATCCTGAATTGACAGAATCCAACCCAGAATTACGAGGACAACGAAAGTAACCAGCCAATAATCGCACTAGACAAGGATTGCTTGAACTAAATTCCAAGTTTGTGCTGTGCGAAAGGGAGATCGCTGCTCTTTCAGGCCGCCAAGACTGGCGTCCCCTTGACGTCAGAAGCGGGATGAGAGGTTGGGGTGTGCAATCGAGAGGGGAATTGTGAGACTGGATTCCGGTTTTAATAAGACCTGAGGCTCTTGCTATGAAGGGTTTTTATTTCCAACTTTTATCATCCGTTGTGTGGGTGGTTTTGTCTCGATTTTCTGTACCAACTCTTTTTTGGTTGCTGGAGTCAAGATCGCATCAAGACCCACTGTTCTGCATAGAATCGCCTGCCACCAGAGGCTGAGGAAATAAATTCCCCGATATCAGGTCAAAAGCATTGACACCCTGCAGTTATGGTAAGTTAATTTCCTCGGACACTGCTGAAGCCCTCTTCCGTGGCTCACCCAAGCAACCCCCACGCGGGCCGCACAAAGAACCACGGATCGCATACTCTAAAACTCATAGAAGCTAACATTCTCGCTTCCCTAGGCTCCTATGAATTCCATCCTTGAGCCACGGCAGTCAAGCGCCGATAACTGCCCAAGCACAATCAGCGGCGGTGGGATTGCGGGTATCGTCATCGGTTCGATCGCAGGGACCCTCCTCATCCTCTGGCTGTGGCGAATATTTCGACTTCCCGGAGCGTGGAGCGGCGGCGATACACCTGACGTCGGTTACCGGCCTCCAATTACTCGCAGCAGCACGAGTAGCCGCGGACGGCGACAGCGTCGTCGTCCGTCCGGAACGTACGTTGATTATGTCGAGAAGCCGACTACCGTACGCAGCGCACGTCGATATAGGGATCACGATGATTTGCGCCGGCCGGCGAAGGTTTATATGACGGAGCCGTGAGTCATGGTGGGAATTATACATAAGACATATAAAATGATTGGAGTGGGTTAATTGGTCATTTGGCCATTGGTCTCGAACATCTCAATTGGCACTGGTGTTTGCTATTTTTGGTTTCATAAGTTCTCGAGGAAATGGGTGAGCCAGGGATGGAGCCAAGTAATTATGAGACATGACATACGGAGTACATATGACTGCGAGCTTTTATGATTTGATGAGAAATAAATTCTTGAACTGGATTACCTGGTCTGTGCATGTGATGCTTCCTTTGTTTCGAATTGAGAATCAGATCTGGACACCAACCTCCTGAGTTTGGATCCCACCGTATAGTTAAGAACAATCCAATCTAGTTGAGTCCTCGACATGCACACTGCGCATGTGGCTGGATGTCTACACAAGCTAGTTGGACAAGTTGCTGACGGGTACCTGAGTGGCGAGGGACTGCGTTCCTTGGCCTGGTCCAGCAGGACTTGGCTGTGTGTCACCACCGAATACGGAGCAGTGGCGTGGCGTTCGATCGATCAGAATTACCGAAGTCACCGAAATAGAACTCCGAGCCAGAAAGTCGAGTCCACCCAAGGGCGATCGCACGAGAACGAGAACGCCGCACCCATGATTTCGTTTTCTTTTGACGAATAAGAGGGCAGAGAAGTATAGTTTATTAAGCTAACATCGTTCGCTACATGGGAAAGCGCATTAATGAGCGGCTGCGCAAGCAGGTAAGACAGGGGAAGGGCCCACAGGGGGGAAGAAGAGAAAGAGAAAAACTTGGGTTTGACATCTCCACTCATTGACTGGGGGGTGGACTTGGCATCTTGGTAGCTTTGTTCCTAAACCCCCTGAGCGGAGTGTTCCTAAGAATTTATTTTTTAGTTTGTTATGGTTTGAGGAACTGGAAGAACTTTGTTATTGATGCCTAGTTGTTATGATTTTCAAATTTTTGTGTTTAAGGGGTACATGCATGATGATCTGTACGGAGTGAAATCTTGGAGTTATTACCCCGTGGCCTTTGTTATCAATTGGGCTCTGATCTTCGTTGCAGACGTGATTCCCCCTCGAATGGTCTCTAGACTTGCACTAAACAACCAGTCTTATCCTGGATTTGAGTCAAGGGATATCAATAGATAAGATGAAGAACAACATAGTGTTTGGTCTCAGACATGAAACTATTGCACTCGTAGAGTGTGGAGTATTTGTGTATTCAATCCTGTTCGATCCTTATCAGGGTTCTTGGCGATCATCCCATCGGTGGGTAGGTTGTAGCCAATCAGGAGCGTCTGCCTCAGTGGAAAACACTGAGCGAACCAAAAGGGGTTAAGCCTTGCGCACAGGGCCCCTGGGGGAGAGCTCAATGAGGTTAGTGAGATGCGCCACAATGGAGGCCCCTAACCCCGATTGGGCTAGCATAGCTCGACCATAATCTCTGCAGGTTTTCCCCTTACACTCGATGGAGTACAACGGTGCACAGAAAAATAATGAGGCCCAAAACACCACTAGCCCATAATGCAAGTCCACTTGCGTCTAAATTGGACCGTCGTGGCTGATTTCTCCCCCCGTTTTCTTGATGTTCTCTCCTTCAACACACTCTTAGGATATTGCTGCTGGCAGACTGCCTTCCACTCATTACCGTGCACTCGCACATCCGCTCTTTATCGAATTTCGAGTACTCTCGAGTCCATTCCTTTTTATTTTGACGGTCCAATAGCAGCACACCGAGCAATCGTTTATATAGATCAGCCCGCCATGTTTATCTCTCGCATTGCCGTTCTAGCAGCTTTGGCTAGCTACGCCACGGCTCAAACCTCGACCGACTGTGACCCGACGAAGAAGTCATGCCCTGCGGATCCCGCCCTTGGCACCGAATACACATGGAACTTCAACACGACCTTGGACGACAAGGTCTGGAATATGGCCACCGGAACCTACGATTACGATGACGATGGAGCCAAGTTTACCCTCTCGAAGGAGGGAGAGTCCACCCTTCTACAATCCAACTTCTACATATTCTTCGGTGTCGTTGAGGCTCACGTCAAGATGGCCAAGGGCGGCGGTCTAGTCAGCAGTGTGGTCTTGGAGTCCGACGATTTGGATGAGATCGATTGGGAGTGGGTGGGATACAACACTAGTGAAGTGCAGTCCAACTTCTTTGGCAAGGGTAACGATACCACCTTCGATCGCGGCGGAAAGCACTATGTCGCGAACGCAGATACCGAGTTCCACAACTACACCACCTACTGGGACCAGGATAAACTCCAGTGGTGGATTGACGGCGATATGGTTCGCGAACTGAAGTACTCCGAGAAGTCAACTTTGTTTGGCGAAAACTACCCGCAGACCCCCTGCCGTGTCCAATTCAGCCTCTGGCCTGCTGGTCAGAAAAAGGCAGCACAGGGTACTATCGAGTGGGCTGGTGGCCTTGTCGACTGGGATGCCGCCCCTTTTAGTATGACCCTTGGCAAGCTGCGCGTCAAAGATTTCCACTCTGGCAAGGAGTACAGCTACGGTGACCACTCAGGTTCCTGGCAGAGCATCAAAGTGGAGGAGTAAGTGTGCCCGGATTAGAATCACCCAGAATATCACTAATGCGACGTAACAGTGGAAACTCGACCGTACTGGAGGAACTAAATAAGCCTGCGGAGAAGTCACTGTCCGAGAAATGGGATGATCTCGGCGAGGGAGCCCATATCGGAGTCTACGTTGGCGCCGCCGCCGCCGGTGCTCTTTGTATCGCAGCCTTTGTATTCTTCTGCCTACGCCAGCGCCGCAAGGGCCGTCTCGAGAATGCCTTGGGCAACAGCCCAGTTCCCCTTAACCGTGATGAGATGCAGAACTTCCAGAAGGACTGGAGGCAGAGCGAATGGAAGCAGAATGGTGGTTACCAGCAGGTCAGCAACTAGCCTGCTTGTCAAGTACAGCGACTAGTAACCCCACGAACTTGCTCTTGGACCTCTATAATGAATAGTTCCGTGATTCCTTTTCCTTTCGTTTCGCGCCGTGCCCGGTATTACAGATTGCTACCATGACGACATATTCTGTGCATCTGTAATGGCCGACGGAGTCGGAATAATGTGCCTTTTCCTTTCGTCCCGGCTTACCGGCTTACCGTCATTTTTTTTTCTACTGCTATGTTGCCTCTGCCTCGTGTATACGCAGAGCCACTCACTCCGATCGCCTGTTCTGTTGATATCCCTTTTTGATCCTCGGATCACAACTTCCTTTCATTGGCGTTGTTCAGGTCGCCTGTTGCTTCGTTTGCAATCTGCTTCTCAACACATCTATGTAAATATATTACCCTACCAAACGGGTTTTCTTCCAATCCTTTACTTCTTGATCTTAGTGGGAAATTGTTCGACTAGTATCTACCTAGGGTTCATCTTACCTATTCCATGCGACAAACCATCTGATATTTTACCATACCAGAGGTGTCTAGACCTTTGAATATTTGTGATTTTGTTAAAGCCACTTGATGACACCTCACCTCGTAACCTTGGCATGCAGCCCATATCACAAGTACTGTATTGCACGTGTCTTATGCGCCTCTGATGAAGTGTGGCACGTAGGGCTTTGGTCGTATAGATCAGGTAAAAGAAAAAAAAAACATGTTGTGCAACATGACATTTTGGCGGTAGTAATACCCAATAGGACTGAAGTCCCTGGTGGCAAAGGTCAGCCCCGGTACTGTAGAGGATCTCATGCAGGATGATCTCACCCAGTTGTACATTCTCGAGGGAAGTCAGTTGTATAAATAAACCCGTCGTCATGTTATAGTCCAAACGTGGACCTAGCAATCGGAGTCGGCGCGACTACGAACCGGCACTAGTTAGAGTACCTATTGCCTGAGAGGGATATTCCTGCGAGGTGGATCTGGGGGTGTGGATATATGTTGTATAGTGGATTCATTTGTGCCGAGGTTGCCTTAAATGATGCCTTATCGGCGGGATTCGTGTCAAATCCGACCGGCCGTAGAATTAAAAATTGTGGCTGACGAGATCTCGGCATGGCCGATTGATACACGACAATCCTGATTGGACTTGAATGGATGCTTTGTACGGAGTAGTGGAACTGAGTATCCCAACACAGCCCTGTAGATGAAACAAATGAAATAAGTAAAGTTATGTAATTTGTGCAGTTATAAGGTATCTGTTATGATTCCACTTGTACATTTAATTAAAAAAACAGCGGAACCGAGGCCGGTTAGTCGGTGAGGTCACCATTTTCTTTAAATAGACCATTACCTCTCCCTACTTCGTTCTTTAATATTTCAATTATAATCCCCAGGTACCCGTGGACATTTTGATATATCATACACAGTCGTTGACCAGGATTACGACGCCACCGGGTTTAGTGGGACAAATCCTCGCAACCCCGCCTTCCAAGGTTTACTATCCTACATTCTTGAACATCCCACTTTGTGATCCACACAAATTCAACAATCATCCAAATTGATCCAACTTCACAACTGTAAGGCGGAAATCATACGCCATGGCCTCGACCAAGCAGGTCCCAATTCCGGGCCCCAAGGGCGTCCCATTCTTGGGAAACATCTACGACATCGAGCCAGAGGTGCCCGTGAACAGCTTCGAGAGGATGGCCGAGAGCTATGGTATGGATCTAGACCTGCGCGGCCGGGAATGTTAATTGCGAACAAACGGACTAATTTCTGTGTTTATCACCTTTCAGGCCCAATCTTTCGATTGACCACCTTTGGCAGACCACGAGTCTTTATCAGCTCCCATGAGCTGGTAGATGAAGTCTGCGATGAGGAACGCTTCGGCAAAATGGTCTCAGCTGGTCTGGCTGAGATCCGCAACGGTGTTCACGACGGTCTCTTCACCGCGAACTATCCCGGCGAAGAGAACTGGGCTATTGCACACCGTGTTCTTGTGCCTGCGTTCGGTCCGCTCATGATTCGCGGCATGTTTGATGGTGGGTGTCCATTTCCTGTCGGCTTTGAGACCTCTGGGCTATCGAATTAGGTGAAAAGTTTTGGCTAATCTCTGGAATTAGAAATGTATGATATTGCAACTCAACTGGTTATGAAATGGGCTCGGGTTGGCCCTACAGTTCCTATCCAGGTCACGGATGACTTCACCCGCTTGACACTGGATACCATTGCTCTTTGCGCTATGGGCACTCGATTCAACTCATTCTATCATGATGAGATGCACCCATTCGTCGAGGCAATGGTTGGTTTGCTAGCTGGGTCTGGAAACCGGGCTCTTCGGCCTGCTTTGTTCAACAGCCTGCCTACTGCGGAAAACAACAAGTACTGGAGTGATATCGAGTATCTGCGGAACCTAGCCCGGGAATTAGTGGATTCGCGGAAGGAGAACCCCGTCGAGAAGAAGGATCTCCTCAATGCGCTTATCCTTGGTCGCGACCCGCAGACTGGCCGGGGCATGACAGATGACTCAATTGTAGACAACATGATCACATTCCTCATCGCTGGTAAGTGGGCAAGTCCTGCAATGCGTGTATTATCTCGGACCTAACTTGGAACTTTATAGGACACGAGACCACATCCGGCATGTTGTCATTCCTGTTCTACTATCTTCTCAAGAGCCCGAGCGCATACAAGAAGGCCCAAGAGGAAGTCGACCGAGTGATTGGCAAACGCAAAATCACCGTCGATGACATGTCCAAGCTGCCATACATCACCGCTGTGATGCGCGAGACGCTGCGCCTAAAGCCAACAGCCCCCATGATTGCCCTGCACCCCCACCCCACTAAGAACCACGAGGATCCTGTTACACTTGGAGGTGGCAAATATGTACTTCACAAGGACGAGACCATTGCGCTCATGCTTACGAAAATGCACCGCGACCCCAAGGTCTACGGCCCCGACGCCGATGAGTTCAAGCCAGAGCGCATGCTCGATGAAAACTTCGAGAAACTGCCCAAGAACGCCTGGAAGCCATTTGGAAATGGTATGCGAGGCTGTATTGGACGGCCCTTCGCATGGCAAGAGGCTCTCCTGGTTGTTGCGATTTTGCTGCAGAACTTCAACTTCCAGATGGACAACCCCAGCTACGACCTCCGCATTAAGCAGACACTTACTATCAAGCCCAAGGACTTCCACATGAAGGCTACACTGAGAGATGGCCTCGACCCCACGCAGCTCAGCACTACACTCAGTGGTTCTGCAGTTGCACCGACAGAGACTGGCGCTGGCAGCCGGGATCGCAAGCCCAAGGCCGCACCCGTGGATGGCAAGCTGAAGCCAATGCACGTATTTTACGGCAGTAATACGGGAACTTGTGAGGCATTCGCCCGCAGGCTTGCCGATGATGCCACTGCGTATGGATACGCTGCGAAGACAAGCTCTTTGGATTCAGCAATGCAGAATATCCCTAAGAACGACCCCGTGGTCTTTATCTCAGCTTCTTATGAGGGACAACCCCCAGATAACGCGGCTCACTTCTACGAGTGGCTCAGTGGGCTGAAGGATAACGAGTTGGATGGTGTCAACTACGCAGTGTTTGGCTGTGGCCACCATGATTGGTCATCCACATTCTACCGTATCCCCAAGGCTATCGACGAACTAGCCAAGAACAATGGAGCTAACAAGCTCTGCAATATTGGTCTTGCTGACGCAGCAAACTCTGACATGTTCACCGATTTCGATGGCTGGGGTGAGACCTCATTCTGGCCGGCTGTGATGGCTAAGTTCGGTGGCGCTAGCCCTGATACTGCTGCCAAGCCGAAGTCTTCATTGCAAGTGGAAGTGAGCTCGGGCATGCGCGCATCCACCCTGGGTCTGCAGCTCGAAGAGGGCTTCGTCATTGAGAACCAGCTCCTTACGCCACCCGGAGCCCCAGCCAAACGAGTTGTTAAGTTCAAGCTGCCATCGGACATGACCTACCAGTGCGGTGATTACCTCGCAGTGCTCCCCGTGAACCCAAGCTCAGTGGTCCGTCGCGCAATCCGCCGCTTCGACCTCCCCTGGGATGCCGTAATCAAAGTCCAAAAACCTTCAGGCTCAACAGCCTCCCCCTCGATCCCCATCGACACACCCATCTCAGCGTTCGAGCTCCTATCCACCTACGTCGAGCTATCCCAGCCCGCCTCAAAGCGCGATCTCAACGTCCTAGCCGATGCCGCCATTTCAGATGCAGAACTTCAAGCCGAACTACGCTACCTCGCCTCCAGCCCTAGCCGCTTCACCGAAGAAATCGTCAAGAAGCGCGTCAGCCCACTGGATCTCCTAACCCGCTATCCCGAAATCAAGCTCCCTATCGGTGATTTCCTCGCAATGCTTCCACCCATGCGCGTCCGCCAATACTCCATCTCCTCGTCACCACTAGTCGACCCATCCGAATGCTCCATCACCTTCACCGTACTCAGCGCACCAGCACTCGCCAACGCCACCCCCGAGAGCACCGAAAAGTTCGAGCAATACCTGGGCGTCGCATCAAACTATCTCTCCGAACTCCAAGCCGGCGAACGCGCACACATCACCGTCCGCCCCTCACACTCCGGCTTCAAGCCACCAGTGGATCTCGAAACACCGATGATCATGGCCTGCGCGGGTAGTGGTCTCGCGCCATTCCGCGGTTTCGTCATGGAGCGCGCGGAGAAAATCCGCGGCCGTCGCAGCTCACCCGACTCCGATGAGCTACATGACAACGAGGCTATCAAGCCAGCCAAGGCAATCCTCTACATTGGCTGCCGCACCCAGGGCCAGGATGATATCCACGCCGCTGAACTTGCGGAGTGGGCTGCACTAGGCGCTGTCGATGTCCGCTGGGCCTATAGTCGTCCCGCTGATGGAAGCAAGGGACAACATGTTCAGGATCTCATGCTTGAGGACCGTGAAGAGCTAGTGAAACTGTTTGATGAAGGTGCGAACATTTATGTTTGCGGTAGTACTGGTGTTGGTGCTGGTATTCGCGAGGCTTGCAAGCAGATGTATCTCGAGAAGCGTCGTGCTAAGCACGCTGAGCTTAAGGAGAAGGGCGAGACTCCGCCTGGTGCTGAGCTTGACGAGGATCAGGCTGCTGAGCAGTTCTTTGATAATTTGAGGACGAAGGAGCGGTATGCTACCGATGTGTTTACTTAGTTTAGCGTCTTTTGTGAATATTCAATTTGGATTTGTTTATATTATCATCGTTCGCTATTTATGCATAGAATCCGAGCACTTTTGCAATTGATGCCGAAATGGCTGCATCCGAGGCTCGACGCGGCCTCCTTTGTCCACTGAACTCGGGTACTTTCGGTCCATACACGGGATGTGGAGTAAATAATCTTATGGATTGGCTATTCGGCCCGATTCTAATCGGAGTTGAGGCGGCGAAACCGCTCCGATTCCCGAGCTGAAAATGGTTCTCAGCGATCGCGTTGAACATTATGCTCTAACAGGCTTTGTGTTTTCCGGTCGTTTTCACTTGCCCAGCTTAGATGCCGACGGTTTCAAGCAAAACAGAAATCATAGTAATATTTTGGAAACCCATATAACAAAGAACGGGCAAACAATATGTAATTTTCTATAATTCACGGTCATAGTTCCAATGATGAGTTTAAATCATTTAGAATCAATCACTAGTTGTCTCTCTTATCACGTTTAAAAAACGCTAGAAAGTGTGTTCTGTAGATAATTTTTAAATTACAGAAGCTCACTTAGAAAGTAGAAGTATTCCTGTCTAGGTTAATATATATAGAGTAATAAAACAACCTTCTTTATAGTATCTTGACCTCTACTGGTCGGATTCTCTTTAAAATTAAAATACATACTTAGGTATATAACTAGCTACTGCTATTATTAATACTAAATTTGAATTATATAAGACTAGTCAAAGGGTCAGAATACAATATTGTATAGCGATTATAGAGGCCGCCTAAGATGGGTTTTAATAGGGGCCTTATGGGCCCCCCGCGAATGGGCTGTGGGTTGGGTTGGGCTTTGCGGAACGCTACTCGACGTGTAATCTTTACCATATATCTATCTCTAAGCCTCTTCAGGCCAGATCTTCTCAGCAACTTGCCTCACAAGCTTCGACTTAGCCACCATATGATCCCAGGTTACAGCATTGCCGCTGCTATGGCTGGTACTGCGGGCTCACAGAAAGCTGATCGAGGGCCTCCTTCTCAGTCGACCGGCACCATTCGCAATATACCGTGCCGCTCCGTGAACTCTGGCTACCGTATTAACCGATACGGGGGTCTCCTACACTCCGGGTATAGAAAGCTCTGTTGCTGACGGGACTTTGCTTTCCTCCCCCACTCCCGCCGGGAATTGTCGGTTCTCGTACAAGTTCCCAGGATCTGTTGGTCATGGTTTGTAAATTGGGGTCGAAGTAGGTATCTTGGACTTCTTTTGGAAAGATCTATTTTAATTGTCCGCTGGTCGATCTTCCGAATTCCCGTCATATATGTGAAGACAACCTTGTGTGCTTTCTTATATTTTAAGGGAATTGTGCTCTATATTACGAAATATGCTGGTTCCTAGGCTTTGTCCCAGATTGATATATCAAGAGAAGACCAATATGTCGACATCATTTATGTCCAGATTCGGATTAAAACCTGGTAGTTATCCGGCTTTGTAAAACCTAGTTTCATAGAAAGTGGTAACGGATAGCAAGAATATATGTTTTAGGGTACATATTTCTAAAGTCGGTCTAATATATTGTACAAACTAAATACAAAACACGGATTAGTTCCCAGCCCGATATCACCCATTCCATCACCCATTCCGGTACCATCAGCTATAGAAGGCAATTTGTATTTGGCATGTCTTCCCCATCATGCCTTTTTTTCTCCCTTTTGCTTCTCCAAGCTCCCTCCGCGCTTCCGCACCCGAACCAGCCAATACACGCCCAAAGCGCCCACAGCATTAAAGACAATATATACCAGGACAATGCCAAAATTCCTCCAACGATCCTCGTACCGAATGTTGACCGTGCTGAGATACTCATTCGTATTGCTCAGTTGGCAAAACTCACAGTGCTCGGTGTTACCCATATCGACCAAGTATCCGCCAGACGAAGAGATGTAGGAGGCCATGTACTCCCCACACGACTGTCCTGCGGTCGGGAGAAACTTGACGTATTCATTCGATGCACAGACGATCTCTGTATTGGCCACACCAGTAGAGAGAAGACCGGAGGCGAGCCACGTGAACGGAGAGACGTAGTACATGAATGTCCAGAATCCAGGTAGGGAAACCTTCTTCACGAGGATACTGTTGGAATTGAAAAAAGAATTGGTCAGTGTTATTGCTCATAATAAAAGGAGCGAAACAGAGAAGGGAGGAATGTGGCACATACCCACAAAAAGAGATACAGAGCATATAGCAGATGTTGCCAACACTCCCAGCCGAGTCAGCACTGTCAATCCCGGCAACCAGGATGTGCGTAGATGTACTGGTGAACATCATAAAGGCCCAGATAAACAGGAATGTTAGACCCCCGCGTGATGCGACATCGTGCGTGAGATCGGCGTTCTGATAAAGTCCGATGGGATAGTACCAACATAAGTAGGCAGCCAAGGCCATACATGTGTTCCAGAACATTTCAATCAGGAGATTGCTCAGCATAAAGACTGGACCATTGACCATGTTAGTAAGGCGTATGTTTGTGCGTACATTTCGTAAGCACTGATAGTTACTACAGGGAGCTCGTACCTTTCCAATCATATATCTTGGATGCACTCTCGCGTGCTTCGTATACCTCCCGCTGGTTGATAAACTGAGGCATAATCTGCTCGCTGAGTTGTCCGAACATACTCAATAACATCATCACAGCGTACATCTGGTTCTGGAGCCCTTGGATGGTATTCCGCGCATGATAAAAGCTAAAGCCGATAAATAGAGCCTGTAGGAAATGAACCTCAGTTAGATATGAGACCTTCGTATGGCTCCCAAGCCATGTTATCTTGTATTTTGTAGAATTCTCACCGAAGCCACCGTGAGCGCGATTTTGGAATAGATATAGGAGGGTGTTCGCCAGTATTGTGCCGCAATACGCTTCTGAACCAACCACCATTGCTGTGTCATAGGTGCTGCATATGAGCCGTTGTTGATCTGACCGGAAGGCTGTGTTTGCAGATCACCCCCCGCTGCAGCCTTTGAAGTTCGGATTTCTTGCAATTTTGCCTTGACACCCTGATATTCCTGCGAGTTTCGCCAAACCTTCGGCCAGTCAAGGGTAGTTTGGGATCCGGGTGCCGCACCGATAACGGTTAACATCCACTCGGCTGGATTGGCACCGGGAGGGCACTTGCTTGCTCCATTGCGCTCTAGATACTGGGTTAGGGTGGTGGAATTCTGGCCAATTTCTGGAAAAGAAAAAAAACACATCCATCATTAGCATATGTATGTTCGCTATCTCCAGTTGGCCAGAGAGCACGAGATAGAGAGGGATTCTGCAGTTGACGAACCTCCAAAGTACACGGTTTTGCCACCTTTCGCGAGAAGCAGCAATCTGTCGAATTCCTGGAATAACATAGCAGACGGCTGGTGAATAGTGCACAGGATTGCCTGGCCACTACGTGCAAGTCGCTTTAGCAGCTGGCAAATCGCCCAGGAGGTCTGCGAGTCGAGTCCAGAGGTTGGTTCGTCCAGAAATAGGAGTAACTCGGGCTTCGCAGCCAGCTCGATGCCTATGGTGAGACGTCTGCGCTGCTCGATGTTCAATCCTTCACCTGGAATGCCGACAATGGCATTCGCATAATCTTCCATCTCAAGGAGCCTGATCACTTCGTCGACGTAAGCGAGTTTCTCCTCCCGTGACACGTTTGCCGGTTGACGGAGAAGTGCGCTGAACTCTAACGACTCGCGCACGCTGCAGGTTGAAAGATGAACATCCTGCTGCTGTACATATCCTGTTTTGCGCTGGAAGGACTCATCTGTGGGCATAGCGTCAACAAGCATGGTGCCAGTTACAACGCCGGTAGTGGTGCGGTTGGCGAGGACATTGAGGAGAGTTGTTTTACCAGCGCCAGAAACCCCCTAGAATTCATTTTGTGTTAAGCATATCACCTTCCTAGAACTTATAGTGACATTTATGTACGTACCATCAAGACGGTCAAGGTTCCAGGTTGAACCCATCCATCAACGTGGTCCAGGATACGTCGGATCTCTCCTTTGTTTTTGATATCGTAGCACACATCTTCCCATTGGAAGATTTGGCCTTTGCCGGTGGGAGCTTGTGTCTCGTCTGTGGTGACTGACTGCGTCATCGAGATCATTTCGGCCCCGAGGGCCTCTTCGTCGTCGGCTTCGGCCAGTCGGTGGGTGGATTTCCTTTTGACAAAATGGCTGCGGCGGAAAATGAGGACCTCTCCTTTGCTCTGAGCCATGCTAAGCAGCTCCGTCGCGCCTAGATAAACAATCGTGAGGATAACCCAGAACGCGATTAGGATTCCCACGTTACTAATGGAACATCAGTCTTTTTGTTCTATATAGGGTCAAATAGCTCTCGCTATGATGATGGATCAAACCTACCGCCATTTGTTCGAATGGTAATATTGGAACTTGTCGTTGATGTATATATCTCCTTGGATTGTTGTCGAGCCGAGTCTGTTTCCGACCTCCGCACAGGCCTGATTATTGATGCCGATAGCGCTGTAGTCTAACCCCGAAGGGATGATGACCGAGCACGAGAAATCGCGGCCATGGAACTCGTTGATCATTAAAGACTCAAAGGCGTAACTAAGCGGATTAATATAGGCCATCCACCGCGACCACCCAGGCATGTACATGGTTGGCATGGTGAAGCCAGTGTACATGATCAGACCCAGGACGAGTAATGCGGCTGGTACCATGGCCTGCGACATGGTACGTGAGACGGATGCAATTGTTCGGAACAGGCTAGATGTCACCATAGTGCTAAGGAAAGCAACAAAAAGGAAAAAGAATATGGGTCCGGCTTCTCGCCGAAGGTTTGCCATGAGATAGAGTGTGAGATTGAAGCAGAACGTGTTGAGCACTTTGTATGGAATGTCAGTCAACATGCTGGCCACAGCCTCAGCAGATGGGTGGTAGAGAGCAAATCGATTATGTTTCTCTATAATTGGCCGTTGCTCGTAGAGTGTTAATATCTGTATACGGTTAGAGTTGTAAAAAGAAGCAACTAATTGGTTCTGGTTACCTCGAGGACACTAGCAAAGGCACTCAATAGTAGAGCAAAGAATATCAACCCTCCTCGTCCGTAGAAGCTGTTTGTGTCGTTGTGCAGATTGAAGAAAATGCTGCCTAAGACTAGAGCCATAATGGAATTGCCTCCGAGTTGGATGTAGGCTAACGAAGGATCTGCAAGGAGACGCTTCCATCCGCGCCAAAGGCACAGAGATGTCTGCTGTATGTACGATAGCGTATATGGGGATTTGACTCTTTGGCTGCTTGCCTGTTGCGCCCTGCGGGATGCCTTGAACTCGTCTAGAAATTCGCCTCCGAGGCTGAATTTACCTTCGTACGCCTCAATTTGAAGCATCAGCTGCTGGTACTGCTTACTGTTCTTCCATCTTTCTTCGAACTCCATTGCTGTGCGTGGGGCTTTATCTTCATAACCTTGCCGAATGAGGCGTTCCTTTGGGCTTGTCATTGAAGTGAGGAAGTCCGGCGTTGTCTGTCGCTCAGGGCCTAGAGATATTTAAGTTAGACACAAGTAAACGTAGAAGTAAACGTAGAAAATAGTATCAAGAAGCCATGGAAGCTCACACTCAAAGCCCAACTCTTCAAAATAGGCGCGTCCTTCAGATGTGTTCCCAAAGAAGACCTGGCGTCCTTCATAAAGGACCGTAACCTTGTCGAAAAGCTGCCCCAACGTAAGCGTCGAAGTGTATGAAAGGAGGGTGGGGGGCGTACATCATATGCTTCTTGTGGGGCTTGATAGAGGGAGACTAGGACGGTAGACTCCAAAAGCTCGGTGGCTGTGCGAAGTGTTCGGCAGAATTCCACTGCGTTGGCGCTATCCAATCCGCGTGTACTGTTGTCCCAGCATTGTAATGCAGCATCGCTCAAGGATACTTCAGCAATACTAACACGTTTCCGTTCACCGCCACTGACACCCCGGATAAAGTCATTGCCAACCATGGTGGTTGCCGTGTGCGAGATGCCAAATATAGCCATGATGGCATCCCGCATGAGCGCGGAGAATTCGTTTGTATTCAGCCCGGCGGGCAACTCACGCGGTGCCCTGGAATGGGCTGCGAAAGAGAGCGTGTCTCCCACAGACAGCCTAGGGAAATGTACATCGTTCTCACCGGCGAAAATAGCCTCTCCTCTAAAGTATGTGTGCATCTCTTTGCTGGATACGCCTAGTACCAGGTAAATAGGTAAGTAGGTGGTTTCAAGGTCTCCTGCAAATGGGTCCAAGCCGCTGCCATACGTACCTCTATAGTTTATCATGACCTTGTCCCCCAAGAACAACCCTTCCATTTGCCCAGAGATTGTCTTTAGCAGAGTCGAACACCCGGAGCCCGGAGGACCGAGCACCAAAAGCATCTCGCCAGCATTGACCAGCCCTTCGAACCCGTGGAGGATGTGGATTTTTCGTTTGCGCCGCTGTGTCATGAGTGATAGGATACTGTTTCCTACGCTTTTCTGATAGTCGGTAGACATGCCGAATCCATATACATCGAGATTGCGGAAGCAGACGCCGGATTTCCGTCGCCGCCCTGACTCGACATGCTCGCTCTCGTATCGAAGGAGCGCTTCCACCCAAGCCCGAGTGTTGAAATTAGAGGATTGTGGGTCGAGATCCGAATCTGGCAGAGGATTGAAAATATCATTATAGGGCTTCGGCACCTCTGAGGATACGGTGTGTCGTGAGGCGCGGCTTGCTAGTCTGCGAATTGTTCGGTCGGCATCGTACGCCTCGCTTTCTAGCGCAGTTCCTTCCAAGTTGGGGGTTGAAGTCCAAGGATGCATGAGATCGGGATATTTTGTTGGATCAATGCCTTCTGTCATGGTGGCGTGTTGTTCTGAAGATATTAGGGCATCTGCAGGAGACCTTGTGAATGTAGGTAATGTGATGATGCGAGTTTTCTTTTTCAGTATTTCTTACCTTTGCTAGGCGCGTCTATGGAATTTAATACCCGGATCAGATGCCCCTATTAGCGATCGACTGATCAAGGCTTCCGTGGTTAACTAAATTAGGGTTTCGGTCTTCGGGGATCGCAGGCTGACGTTGCTCGGTGTTCGGTGCCGCTAAAATAAAAGGATTTGATGGGTCTCCACTAAGACCTCTAAAGATAGGTTTAGGAGTGAGACCTAGTTTGACGCTTAATAGATGTAAGGTTGAAGTATGGCATATCCCAGGTAGTAAGAAAGTCTCTATTTCTCTCTTATGGTGTTCTTCCATTCATTTCCAGACTATAATCCACAAAACAACAAGATGTCCGAATCTCAGCGGTTCTTAGAACCTCTACCGTTAAACTACAGCCTGGCGAAAAGGAAACTCCGCATCCTGATGTTCTGGGTACTGGTGTTTCTTGACTCGTTTCTCTTGCCCATCGGGCTCTACTACCTCCTAACCAGAACCACGACATGGTCATCTACGACTAGTACGCTACATGCTTGACTTAACTGTGATGAGAACTAACTGTGCATCACTTACTATAGTCTTTACTGTCCTGACTATGACCTTATTCGGAACATTTGTGACCGAATCATTGCAGAGATCGTGGAATCTTTGGCGGAAAAACTCCAACTGTCGCGTTGCCAACGTAGGCCGCTACTGTGTCAGCACCCCTCCTCAAGATTCTGCTCCCCCAGCATCCTTCTAGCAACAACGCCTGCTAATTTAATCCATGCAGTTTGATTTCACCCACTGGAATGTCCTTGTCTCTTGGGTTATCATCATAGCCGAACTCGTCGTCGGAACCATCCCAGACCCACCCTGGATGCGGATCTTGGCAATGCCAGTGCCTTCAATCTTCCTTGTCTTCGCACTCGAGATGCTAGTATTTGAGACTATGTACGTTTACAAGCTGCCTGCCCCGTTCCGGATTTCCTCCGTTCCTAAAGGGGAACCTATGCGTCCCGCTCTGTATCCACTTCTGGAAGACATCATCGCAGTAGATGGCAAAGGAGGAACAAGGTTCAGGGACCGGCTAAATCAACGATACAAATTCAGTCCGCCATTTCGCAGTATGCTGCACCGAGTGACGATGCTATGGGCGGTGCCTCAAGTGGTGGTAGCCGGGGGAACGCTCGCGGGGATTTTCATTGCAGACCGTGAACTGGCTTACACGGTATGTGTGTCTGACTTCTAAAATATAAAATGATGAGAAACTGAGATCATGCGGCGACTTCTTATAGCTTGGTTGGTCGGTACCTGCTATTTGGGCGGGGATCTGGGTTGTGCTGACGGTGATCTGGATTCAGGTGGAGTTGAGGCGAGAAAGGCATTACTGGAGGGGGTGCGATTGAGTCGGGAGCTACAAGGGCAGACAGAATGCAACAGTTCGGATACTGTAGATACCATTGAGGAAGAAGCCACTCGATGAGTTATATATAACAGGGGTTCAGCTACCAAGAGAAGTCATTGGAAATTCTTCCGTACGTTCTCTCTCTATTTCAGATATCGAAGAGGGAAGTCGTGTAGAAGTGTGTGTTATCAATCTGTAACTATCTCCTACTTGTATCCTCCCGATTCTTCCGTACTTCAGCGATTGCATGATGAAACTGTACGGTGTACCCGGGCAATAAAGAAAGGACAGACAAGTCAAATGCGTGGTAGAGGATAAGGTTCCCACTACAGTATATAGATCAATCTTATTGTAACATATTTTCAATTCATGTCCAACTGCTTTGAAGGAAATAACGTCATTTGGGATATGAGATATAGAGGGGACCTAAGGTATTACTCCCTTCATCCACTCAAAGATCGAGACTGACCTGAACAATAACTGCGCCCCCTTCGGTATAGATAAATGACCTCGGTGAGACATGACCGAGTGCGTGTTTAGATATATAGGTTTAGGGCACACCGAACACCGAACACCGAGCCCTTCTGCAACGAGCACGCCCCACTTCCAAGCCCTAAGCCATGATTGTTTTATGTTGATGAAAAGCGCTACCGTGTATAAGTAGCGATATTATTTCAAAGAAGACCTCTATATCATTCATTAATTCATGTTTATATTATCTCTACAAAGCATAACTGCTATTCAGAAGCGATGAAAGATATGGATTGTATCCCCGGACCAAAACGTAAGTAAGCAACTAACACTTTCAGCTGAAACTAGTGCTGCTGTTGCTATTGCTGTTGCTGTTGCCTTTCATTTTGTATATTTACTAACTGGCCATTTATACAGCCCTACCAGTGGTGGGAAACCTGTTCGACCTCGACCTCGAAAATGCCCTACAGTCTATCATCAAATTAGCGAACGAGTTCGGTACACTTCGCTCTTGCCTAGATGTGAAATAGATACCAGTGTCACTAATCACACATCACAGGGCCCCTCTTTAAAATCACCATAAACGGCCAGAAGCAGATCTTTGCCACCAGCCAGGCTCTGGTCGATGAGCTTTGTGACGAAACCCGCTTCCACAAGGCCGTCATGGGAGGACTTGAAAAGTTACGAATGCTGGCTAAGGATGGTCTCTTCACAGCCCACCATGGAGAGCGCGGTTGGGGTATTGCTCATCGGATTCTGATGCCTGCGTTTGGTCCGCTGCGCATCCGCGACATGTTCGAGGATATGAGAGATGTTGCGCACCAGTTGTGTTTTAAGTGGTAAGGATCCATCCCCTAAGATATGTCTCAAGAAATAGTTGGAAGATAAAAGACCGGCTGACTGGGTTGGTTTGTTATTTTGGTATAGGGCCCGCCAGGGAAGTTCGGCCAGTATCAATATCTCCGAAGATTTTACCCGCCTCACATTAGACACCATCGCCCTCTGCACGATGAGTTTCCGGTTGAATAGCTATTACAACAGTGAGACAATGCACCCATTTGTACAATCCATGCTATACGTGTTGAAGGAAGCCGACCTCCAGGCAACGCTTCCCGGGGTCGCAAACTGCGTGCGTGTGAAGGCGCAGCGGCGCATGTCCAAGCACATTGAGGCAATGAGGAGCATAGCCGGCAACATCATCAAAGAGCGCAGAGACAAACCGGAGCCGGTCGATGACCTCCTAAACACGCTACTGAACGGGCGTGACCCAGTTACTGGTGAAGGCATGAGCGATGAGTTGATCGTGAGCAACATCATCACGTTCTTGGTCGCGGGTCATGAGACTACCTCCGGTCTATTGTCCTTTACATTCTACTACCTGCTAAAACATCCACATGTTTTGGAACAGGCCCGGAACGAAATTGATGAGGTTGTCGGTGTGGGACCAATCACAGTGCAGCATCTAGCAAAGCTTCCTTACATCGATGCAATCATGAAGGAGAGTTTGCGCCTGATGCCTACCGCCCCAGCCTTTACGGTCACACCGAAGAAGCCGGAGGTGCTGAGCGGTAAATGGATGATCAATACTGGGGAGCCCGTTCACGTACTGTTGCCTGTCTGTCTGCGAGACGAGGCCGTCTTTGGGTCCGACGCGGATGAGTTTCGCCCGGAACGAATGCTGGAAGAGAACTTCTCCAAACTCCCACCTAACTCGTGGAAACCCTTTGGTAACGGCGAACGCGGCTGCATTGGTAGGGCATTTGCTTGGCAGGAAGCTCAACTGGTGGTTGCGTTGGTCCTTCAAACATTTGACTTGGTAGCAGAGGACCCTTACTATAAACTGCGCATCAAAGAGACTCTTACAATTAAGCCCGATGGCTTTCGAGTCCGAGCCACTCTGCGTCACGGCCAAAGTGCCACGGCGCTATCCCAACATAATATGTCGGCGGGCGCGACTGCCAGCCCGGGGTCGCCAACCCATCTAGTCGGGAATGAAAACATCAAGGATGCAGCGGGAGGTCAGCCGATTTCCTTCTTCTATGGATCCAACAGCGGAACATGCAAAGCTCTCGCCCACCGCCTGGCATCGACCATGATGACTCGCGGATTTACAGACCAGCATATAGCGCCACTCGATAGCGCCGTCGACAATCTGCCGAAAGATCAGCCAACCATTATCGTAACCACCACCTATGACGGGCAGCCCACGGACGACGCGAAGAAATTTCTCGCTTGGCTTCAAAGCGGAGATGTCCCATCTCTTGATGGCGTTTCTTACGCAGTTTTTGGCTGCGGTCATCAAGACTGGACCAAAACATTCTACCGCATCCCGATCCTGATCGATGATCTAATGCAAAAGGCTGGAGCTACGCGTCTCACAACCAGAGGGACAGCCAATGCTGCTGTCAGCGATCTCTTCTCGGATCTTGAAACGTGGGAAGAAACCAACCTACTGCCATCCCTTCGGGAGAAGTTCTACCTCTGCGACAGCAGCGACTTCGAACCGCTAGACCCGTACCAGCTACAGATCAGCATCAGCAAGCCCGGAAGGGTGGTCATGCACCGGGATCTCATGGAGGGTAAGGTGACTGCCATCCGGACGCTAACAAACCCTGGGGTTCCGGAGAAGCGACATGTTGAATTCTGTATCCCAAGCGAGACTACCCTCCGTCCAGGTGACCATGTCAATATCCTCCCCGTCAATCCACCCAGCACGGTGTTGAGAGCACTAGCTCGATTTAATCTCGCGTCGGATCATAGCATCACGTTTGAGTCTTCCAACGCGCTTGATCTGCCCCAGGACACACCAGTGTCGGCCGCCGAACTTTTCAGCTCGTATCTGGAGCTATCTCAACCGGCAACGCGGAATGTAGGTCACCATAATCTGATGTCTCAACTTCACTCAAATTCGACGCAGTTAGCTAACTACTGACCCCGCAGAATCTCAAAAGCCTCGCCTCCGCCACTCCATCAGATGATGACAAAAAGGAGCTGCTCCATTTCCACGATTCTTACGATTCACTTATCCGAGATAAGCGTGTCTCGGTCTTGGATCTCCTCGAACACTTCACCTCCATCACACTTCCCTTCGCCACATTTATCTCCATGCTCCCCGTTTTGCGAGTTCGCACTTACTCCCTTTCCATGGCCCCCTCCTTCAAGCCGTTGCACTGTTCGCTCACCTTCTCCGTCGTCAACGAGCCAGCATGGAGCGGAAACGGTCGATATCTAGGCGTCGGATCCAACTATCTCGCCTCGCTGACCCCAGGGTCCATTCTCTATATGTCTCCACGACCAGCCAAACCCGCCTTCCATCTGCCGGCAGACCAGTCCAGTAAGCCAATCATCATGATCTGCGCAGGAAGTGGCCTTGCCCCCTTCCGTAGCTTTATCCAGGACCGCATGGCCTGGTTGCAACAGGGCAAACCACTCGCAAAGGCGCTGTTGTTCTTCGGTTGTCGCGGTCCCCAGCTCGATGATCTCTACCATGACGAATTATCCGAGTTTGAATCTGCGGGCGTGGTTGAGGTCCGGAGGGCGTACAGTAAGGTTCCGAACCACTACCTGGCCAAGGGATGTCGGTATGTGCAGCACCGGTTGCTCACCGAAACCGAGACCATCCAGGACATGTGGGCTCAGAATGCCACACTCTATCTATGTGGTTCGGCCAACCTGGCCAAGGGAGTCAAAGCTGTGTTGGATAATATGTTCGGCACATTATCTGAGGAGCGATACATTACGGAGATTTTCTAGATGGGTGTTGTTAAGGTTGTGGTGTTTTCTCTTTTTTTTTTTTTTTTTGTTGTTGTCTAGATTTGATACCAATTTTGTAGCAAGCTCAATAGAATGGACTTGGGTGATTCAATTATTTACTGATCTGGAAACCTAAACAACCTTGAGAGAAGTCATCACTAAATTCTTAACCACTATAGTACGGTCGTTGCATAATATATATTTAGATCGTTTTGCGACTTGACATTATTATCGACAATTTCCTTTGATTTAAAGTGGAAATTTGGCCAAGGTGGGACAAGAAATAGGTATTTTTAAAAGATCTAGTCGATCTCACTTCAGATGATATATAATATAAAATGAACCAAGGCGCAAAGCCTCAAGTATGCTGTTTTAGGTCAACGAGCTGGCCAGTTGACTCTCAAGCGGAGAAGGTTTGAAATTGTGGCGGAGCACAAAGCTTGACTCCCGAACTCGGCCCATTGCCACCTTACCTTTTCCACGTTGCGTTGCCTCAATATCCGAAAGCCTCAACGAAAGTCTACCAGGCTACACCAGTCTTTACTATAATGACGAGTGAGAATGGGACTGAAGTCTCAGAAAATATGACTTGCAAGACTTGTGACCAGTGCAGGAGCCGGAAAGTCCGCTGCATCAGTACGTTGATTCCCCCTTTTGGTGTCGGGGACCTTGATTGTAATATTATCTATCTCTTAGTGCCCCCCCGGACAACGTACCCGATGCACCAATTGCATTGTAAGATGGCGAGAACTCGAATAAGAATTCATATCGGCTACTGAATCATTTCTCGATCTAGAAACGGAAAGAGACTTGCCATTTTCTCCCGAGCAAGCGTAAACTAAAGAAATGTGCAACTGAAACTAACCGTATGTTGCGATTCGAAAACCCCTCCAATTCAATTCATGGTCCGGATTCCTAAAGGATATTGAGTAGATGCCACATCCAGTCAGTACCAGGGGCCTCTCTTTGAGCCGTCGAGTGAACAAATTTGCATTCCAACGAGCCTACCACCGGTATTTCTTGATCAGATGTTGGAAAACCACGGCACTACTGGGGTGTTTCGGGATACTAATCCCTTACTGAGGGTCAGCTTCTCAAACTTCTGTCTGATAATATCACTTAAACTAACCAGATATTTGTACCCAGGCACCTGACCATGACGGTATGCTACCGAAAAAGTCCATCTTTCAAGGAGCCTCCATGTCCTAACAATTTCTTCTTTTCAAGTGATTAGTTCCAGTCTTGCCTTTTTCTCCGAGCGTCGAATCCAGTCCTTATCACAACAATTAGGGAATGACCGGCTCAACCAGCTAGTGGAAACTATCGAATCAATCATCCGATCTCGCCTTCTCGCTCAGGGCCCATCGTCATCGCCCATCTCATTTAAATATCCGTCTGATATCGAGCAAGTTTCGCTAGACAAGATCAGGCTATATACTGACTGTGAGTTGATTCATTCCTGTCTACTGTTGTCCTCTCACTGTTGACAAACCGTTCTGGGAAACTTATGTAGCTTACTTCAACCAACTGCACCCAACGTATCCGTTTCTGGATCGTCATGCTTTCGAGGATAAGGTATTTGGGCCCAATCTCTACGAGGATCTGTGTGCCAACTCTGCGTTCTCGGCTTTGTATCACGCTATTTTGGCGCTAGGATGCCAGTACCATGAAGGTGGGGCGTTTGATCCTGGAAATGGAAAGGCGTGGAAATTATTCCAGGTGTCTTTGGGTCTTGTGTCGGATATACTGATGCCGCGAGGAACCTTGATGGGCCTTCAGGTATGTTATTTGCGGTGGTTACTTCGGCAGTTAGCTGACAATAAGGAAATAGGCTCTAATAGCCATGGTAAGTGGCGATGATCTAAGGCAAGGAGTGAAAGGTGGGTTGAATGGGGTTGACTAATACAATGAGTTGTGTTAATTAGTCAATATTCGCTATGACGACCTGTTGTCTTCAAATCGATGAGGTCTTACTCATGGAAGCCACGCGAATGGCCCAAGGTCTCGGTTACCACAGAGCACTGGCCACCGGGGACCAACGACACAAAGATACCTGTCACAGAACCTTCTGGGTTCTATACTACATGGAAAAGCAAATGTCTTTCCACGGCAACAAAAGCTCAGTAGGTAACTAAAGGCAACAGTCAAAACGTTACTAACCTCAAACCAGATGATCTCGGACTATGACATCGGTTGTCCAATTCCTGACGTCCCGGAATCCGTCTTCGGGGAATATAACTGGTTTCTGTCGGCCATCAAGTTTGGTAGAATTCTCTCGCAAGCATACGCATGTGTCTTTTCGGTCAGCGCCGCCTTTCAAACAACGGAGGCACATCATACCGCGATTGATGAGATTGAGGCCCAGTTAGAAAAGTGGCGAATAGCAGTTCCCGTGGGTTTTCGACCTGGCATGCCGCTTCTTGACCCAAACTGCCTGTCTTCCTTCTTCCCACAGCCGAGCTTCAAAATGATCGTTCTGCATACCAACTTCTCCTACTACGCTTTGACCATCGCCCTATCGAGGCTTAATGTGAGCGTCAGCAGACAAACGCAATCACTACGACAGGAAAAGAGCAGACGATTACTCATGTATACCGCAAGGGCGATCGTAGAAGGGAGTAAGAATGTTGACATAGCTGCCTACACGCCAAATTTGTAAGTAACACCATCTCCGTGTGTCCTCCGTGTATCCTCCGTGTGTCTCCGTGATGACAGAGAAACACTGTTTCCGAGGTATTGTTAAGCCGAAGGCTGACCTTTAATATAGCATTTTGGCCGTTTTACCCCTCGCTGCTTTATTCATCCTATTTGACTTCGTGGTCCACAATCCAACACATCCGGAGACGCGGAATAACCTTGCACTATTGGATGTAGCGGCCGGTCACTTCAGTCTCTTAGATTACAAGTCTGGGGGGTTCTTGCCCGGGTCAATTCTCACCGAATTCGCACATATCGCACGGCAATTTGTCAAAGACTTTGACATCAATCAATTACGGCCACCACAGCATGAACCCACTGAAATGGGCTCGTCCATTACTGGATTCATATCGGTTGACACCGAGGTAAACCACCGTCTTGAATATTTCAATTCCGCTTGTCCCGTGCTTAACTTTGTTCAGATTTCCATGCAGCCGAATGAAACGAATAGTAACGATAATAATAACCCCGGGTTACAAGATAACATGACACAGTCGTGGTCACCGAGGGACTTTCTAAACTACCCCATCACGCCAGAGACGACCTTGCATGGTGTGTCTGACAACCCGAGGATGACCCAATATAATATCCAAACGTTGTTTGGTTTTATGGTGCCTGAATTGGGACATGATCAGTAGGTAAGAAGGAATTAGATAGAGCTTTTCAGAAACAAATATATTCAATTAATCCTAACCTGAAACTGTACTAGAAAGAGAATACAGGGCCCTTCCCAAAAAATAAACACCTAGGCAGCCCCTCAATTGGGCTATGCCTACTGCTTGCTCCACTTTGGAATGCTAGACACCATTCTCCGCCATTCCTGGTTACTGAACTCCATGTTTTTCGTGAATTTCGCAACTTGATAATTAAAACGCAATTATTCTCCGATTAGTGCTCATTTCTGCGGATAAAAAGGCGAGTCTTTTTGTTATTATTGCCCTCAACCCCGAAACGTCGCACGCGCAGCCAAAATGTCCATTGCAGCCCTGCCTGTGGAATTGATCTCAAAGATATGTAACTATTTGGATTTCCAGCAATTGGTAGCTCTGAGGTTATCATGCCGCGCATTATAAAAACTCGCTGGAGAATTTTGCGGAGACCTTTTACCGAAAAATCCGTCTCATTGTGACAAGTGAAAGTCTCCACGAACTGGAAGAACTATCCAAGTCAAATGGTCTCCGCGAGCACGTCTAAGAGCTATGGATGATCAGTATTGTGTTCGATGGTACTGAAAAGCCCCTCGGCATGATATCTATATCATAAAAAGGCTGGCGGCAGGTCAATGGCAATGAGCTGGAAAGTCGGCATGCTGTCCATAAAGCCATGCTTGCGGATAACCTCAACCTGCTGGGATCAGAAGCGTTCGGTGTTCGACTTCGGGAATGTATGGATCGATTCAAGAACCTGCAAACAATAACACTCGCACATTACAGAACGGAATTTTTGCTTGATTCTCGAGTTATAGCTAACTGCAACAGTTCTAGCTACGCTCGCCAAGGACACTTGCGATGCATACCGAAAATAGCCATCAGCCCATCCATAGCCGTTTCTCTTATTAGGGAGTCGACAATGACATGGTTTCGCATTCACAGTCTCGCGTCGACCACGAGATGAAGCACTGGTCAAGGCCAAGGGAGTGGGCAGCATTTTCGCTATTGGCCCAAATCACCGGGTTGTGCTTTCGAATAGTCATCGACTGGGTGAAGAGGAACCATAGAGACCAGAAATGACGACAACTGGGCGCCACGGTGTTCACGGCCAGGCAACCGGGACCCATTTTGTGGATCCTGGGAGGTGCAATCCAATCCCAGATGGGACGGACAGAGAGAAATATGCGGCGTGAAAGGTATACAAGCACTTTGCAGATCTGAAGGAGGCTTACGAAATCAGAGACGAAAAGGCGCACTGGTACGTATTATAGCGCATAGTCACTTCCCTAGGGGAAAATTGAGATTATTGGTACGAACGAACATGATACCGCTACGCGTTGTATTCCAGTTTTACGCTCCTGGGCGACAAGCATTGCAACCTGCACATCGGGTTGAGCGGCGTCTGCAGGAAAATGAAAGGGGCAGTGCGTCGAGCTGAAAGCCAATGCGCAGTTGATGATGGGGATCAGAGTGAAAGAAAGGGAGCATCGATGACTGCAATATAGAGGAGTTGAAGGAGGGAAAACAGGTCGGAAGGTTGCTAATACTGTTGCGAATCACACATTCATTATTTGAAGCCTGAATTCCGGGGCATCAGTAACTAACCAATCAGAATGCAGTTCCTGAAGAACCCCGGGCTGTTCCCACGTGACTGTAAAACTTCAATGACCGACAGCCAATCAGATCAACGGGTGAGATGCTAGGCCGATGGGAGGAAGGTAGGTAGAAACTTCTTGGTTTTCAATGTCTCGGTATATCCAATTCGAGATTAATGTATTAAAAAGAATCCATCTTCATTTATATACTGTGAGTCTGACCATCTACCTTATATATCATATCCCGAGTCCTCATTGGACGCCAATGCCAAATTTGCGCTAAAACCGAGTCGGATGGCGTGATAGAGTCAAACTATTACACCCCAAATATTCCCATTTTTGAGTGCTCGGCCGAGATAAATTTGGACGTTAAAGGGCGGCTATATACCCAAATCTCCCTCAAACATTCATAATATCACATCATGCCGCAGATAAAAAGTATAGCCATCATCGGGGCCGGCCCAGCTGGCGCCATTGCAGTCGATGCACTAGCACAAGAGAAAGCATTCGACGTTATCCGTGTATTCGAAAGACAGGAGAAAGCAGGAGGATGCTGGTATGTTAATGTTACCCTAATATATTCACCTATTCTCAACTCTAATAAACAATAGGGTATCACGAGATGATGAGCCGCCTCAGCAGTTCGACTTTGATGGTCTATCTTCCCGAACAGCAGATGCGCCTCTCAAGATTCCCGAGCACCTCCCGTGCCGGACGCCTGTAGTCTTGCAAGATCGGTTCACGGACTCTCCCGTGTACCCGACTCTAGAGACCAACGTGAACGCGGGAGCCATGTCATTCTCCCAAGAGGAGATTCCTACAGTTCGATCGCAGTGGTCGATCGAACGCCATGGCGTAGACACGCCTTTCCGGCACCACTCAGTCATCCAGAAGTATATCGAAGACCTGTTTAACCGCAAGGGGTACCAGGATCTTGTTCAGTACAACACTACTGTTGAACGCGCGATCAAAGATCCCAGCACCCAGAAATGGGTGCTTACATTCCGCCGGACGGAAGTTCTCGACGGTGCCAAGTCAGATTACTGGTGGTCCGAGGAGTATGATGCAGTTGTAGTGGCTTCAGGCCATTATGCAGTGCCGTTTATTCCTGTGATTCCCGGCTTGAAGGAGTTTGCGGCCAGGTATCCTGGTAGTGTTGAACATACCAAGCATTACCGCGGGCCTGGGAAATATCGGGGAAAGGTAAATGAAGTTTCCACCATGTTGTTCGATCTCCCGCTTACATATCGCAGAAAGTCATCACCGTCGGAGCGTCTGTTTCTGCCGCTGATACGGCAGTGAGCCTGGTTGATAGTGCTCAAACACCAGTAATTGCTGTGGTTCGTGGCCGTTACAACGCCTATTTCGGAGATCTCGCTTTCCAGCACCCTAAGATCCAGCGTCGCCCGCCCATCTCACACATCACCAGTAATGATCAAGGCGAACGGACTGTGCATTTCGAAGACGGTACCTCTGAAGCCGGTGTCGATCATCTGATTTTTGGAACTGGCTTTAGCTGGACCCTGCCTTTCTTGCCTCAGGTTGCTACGCGCAACAATCGTGTGCCGGATCTCTACCAACATGTCTTTTATAGACATGACCCGTCCCTGGTTTTTGTCGGCGCTGTAAGTCTATCAAACCGAAGAAGAAAGAGACCCGAAGAAAAAGCTAACAAAATACCCTCAGGTTGGTGCTGGATTGACCTTCAAAGTCTTCGAATGGCAGGCTGTCGCTGCCGCACGCGTTCTAGCCGGCAAAGTAAACCTGCCCTCGATCGCCGAGCAGGAAAAATGGGAAACCGACCGTATCGCAAAGAAGAGCGATGGCCCCGGGTTCACAGTCCTCAACCCCGAATTCGAACCCTACTTCGAGACCCTCCGCGAACTTGCGGGAGAACCTCGTGGTGGCGTCGGGCGGCGCCTCCCTCCGTTCGAGCAGAAATGGCTGGCAGATTTCAACGAAGGCCATGAACGCAGAAAGAAGATGTGGCGGCGAGCCAATCAAACCGCTCGGTTGTAAATATGACCGTAAGGGTTATTGCGGCCAAGGGGGATTGCTCTCGAGGGGGGGTAAAGGAGTACTCCCATATTACGTAGATAGAACGAGGACCAACATACAACATAGATCACAAATAAATACCTAGGCAAGGAGAAACCAAATGATCAGCTCCCGCCTTCCCCTTTAATCTCATTTTAGCACCATTTACCATTAAATAGACCAATGGGACCCTGAAGAGTCAACGAATAAGTCCCTGAATGTTTAGGCCGCCGACTCCACTTCTGAAGTCAATATCCCCAACCTACGGGGAATACGGGCTTGGCATCTTCTTCTTCCCCCCCGTGTTCAGGAGTTCTCGGAGCTTCGCTCAAAGGGGAGATCTTGGGGGCCATTTAGGATTCTCATATGTCCTTAAAATCCCCCGTCCTTTCCCTTTAAAATCTCACCGACTATCCCTTCCCCCTGCGAATGTTGTCGAACCACACATCTTTCCCTCTCTCCACGAACCACGATCAACTCCACATCTCCACCCTAAATAACACCTAAAATCCTGTTTCGCGTCACGTCGCGAAATATCCAGGACCGGATCAACCCGGCAAGCACAAACCACCATGTCATCTTCCATCGGAAACACCACCAACAGCACGCAATTCATACAGCCGGCTCAATGCGCCAACTCGAGCGACGCGGTGCCGGCCATGGTATCCAATGTCCAATATTATAATCTGGTCCCGCTGTACCAGACAAAAGACCACTACAGAGATATGAAGGCGGTCTTGCAGTCTTGCTGTCCGAGTGCGGTGTGGATTACTGAGGATCCGAACGCCTGCACGGCTGTCTGTGATTCGAAGACTTCGGCTGAAGCTGAGAAAGTCATGTACTGCTTGAATGCTGAGAAGGTTGTTCATGGGACCAAAAGGGATAAGAGTTCTGGGGCATTGGGGCGTCCCGCGGTGGGCTGGGTGTCTTTGATGGTTGGGGGAATGCTTCTGTTAGGGATGGTTATTTGAGGGGACTAGGGGGATGTTGATTTTGTTGCAGTTTGAGATACCCGTTTGCGATTTATGAAGTTGGTCCGATGAGATGTGAATATATTACTGTAGATATTGCTGGAAAGCTAATCTACGCAAGAAACTTCTCGGAGATATATTTGATACATATGGCTTAGGACAGGTCAGAATCGAATCCATTAGCTTTCTCTGCTCAGACCTGAGACTTTCAGTTGATGCACGTTTGTCGCTAGATGCTGCTTATATGAAACATTTGTACTTCAGTCATTCTTTTCTATACAAATTACCAATTTGGGATATTCAACCGTGGAAATGCTGACTTCTTGGCAAGCCCCAATCAACTTGGCAATAACAAGCAATTGATGTATGCATGGGCGTGTCAAATAAACAAGCGCTTTTTTATCTCTGGAATGTAAGCCACTTCGCAGAAGCATACGCCAGAATATGCAACAACCCGAACTGCATATAACCGCAAGCCTGCATAAGGCAGGGGATTTTGATTCGAGACCTGTAAGTAATGAGCATTAATTATATCTTAAACAGAGAAATAAATTGCAAAGTAAATCTGGCAAGTGAATTTGGACTTCGTCTAACTTATTTTTTATACTCACAGAGTGTTTAGGAAGATATAGAATTTGACTTACCCACAAATGGTGCTCAGGGGTACTCCATAGATGAATGTCCAATGATGCCCGAATTACCCCATTTAGCCTATTATCCATAAAATGCAACTCCAACAACCCGCAAATGTCCCCCAGATTAGCCACGGAGAATCTCCGACCCCACGTTATATCCCCGCCATCATTCAAGGTAACCGTCACATGCCACATGTAACGCAAGCTACAACACTCCCAATTCATAACAAAACCTCCCCAATCCTGCAAACCAAACACATACCCAACAAACCAACACCAAAAATGGACTCCGTCAAAGGCAAAGTGTACGCCGTAACAGGCCTTGGCGGAATCGGACTCGCCGTCGCACGCCAACTACATGCGCAAGGAGCCCTCCTCTCCCTCGCAGACCTAAGCGAAAAAGTCCTCACCACAGCGCGACAAACAATCGAAACCGAATTCGGTACCTCAACAGCTTTAACAATTACAACAACCGTATTGGACATCAGCAATGTGACCGCCGTACAAGATTGGATCGCCAGCACGGTGTCGTACTTCGGGCGATTGGACGGTGCAGCAAACATGGCTGGCACAATCGGCAAAGCACATGGCACTGGAAAGTTCGTCGACCAGGATGACGCTGAATGGGATATGTTGATGCGCGTCAATGTCACCGGGTTGATGTACTGTCTGCGCGCGCAGCTGAGGGCGATTACTGCGACCGCGCCTGGGGGAAAGGGTAGTATTGTTAATGCGTCGAGTATTCAGGGGATTAAGGGGTTTGCGTTGCATGCTGCTTATTCGACTACGAAGCATGCTGTTTCTGGGTTGACGAAGTCTGTTTCGAAGGAGGTTGGGCCGGAGATTAGGGTTAATGCTGTTGCACCGTGAGTATTTGTGTTTGGTTGTATTTTGGTGAGGGCGTTGGCTAATTGAGTTGTGTTAGGGGTTCTATTCAGACGCCTTTGCTGGAGATGGCGAAGGAAATTCAGGGTGGAATTTCTATTCCGCCAGTCAGTATCCCACGCATTGGCACGGGCGAGGAGGTTGCTCAGACGGTTGTTTTCTTGCTCAGTGATGCTTCGTCGTATACGACTGGACAAATTCTTAGTGTTGATGGTGGGTGGGAATAAGTTATTGGCTTAAAAGGCATGGAGCGAGGTTGAAGTTTATGGCATGAATTGTTGGGTTTAGCGTCATGGCTTGATATGCTAATTACATGCATTGATGATGATGAACTGAATGGAACGATCGTTAGGTGATAAACATAATCCCGGGATAATAAAACGCTCGCGCCATCTATATGAGTAGAATCGCTAAAATGCACGAAGAAAGGACCATGAGAGTATTGAGCTAAGCAGGACAGAACTGCTGCTATGACCATATGCATAGTAATAAGCCTATAGGCAGGCGTTAGCATAGAACACATAAACATTGGCCAGTCCGCCCTTACCGAAAATGACCACAAGATAACCCCAGCTGGGAATTTGAGGTCCATAAACGAACGCGGCACTGGATGTGGCATTTTGGCTTCCAGCAGTCACCGGCCACCCGTCCTCATAGTCCAAATAGTTCCAGCCGAGCTGTGCTTCCTGCGAGAACACTTAGTTCGAATACCAACAAAAATGAAAAGAAGACTCACCCCATGCTTGAACCCCATCGACGTATTCAAGTAATGATAATAGAGAATATCTGGCATGGAATCATTATTCCCAGCCAAGACACCCAGTCCACCAGGAGCATACACGACCCCATGGTTCGAACCATAAACCACCGTGCCACCTCCATCAAGCAAAGATTTCCCCTTCCTATCCTCAAAAGGCCCACGCACATTCTTCGACCTTCCGACGCGAATACTATACTCCTTCCCACGCGCAGGGAATCCGTCCTTGAAGTTACAACAATCCCCATGACTGAACCAAAGATAATAAAACCCCTCTCGAAAACTCATCCACGAGCCCTCCTCGGGCTTAGACTTTGCATGTGGGATAAACGTCAAGTGCACGGCATCAGGCGCATCTGCATCCTTGACAGAAAGCAAATCATCCGCCAGCGGAACCTGCCATATATCCTGCCAGAAGCTTCCGTAATTAAGATAGATTTGGCCGGAGTCTTGGTCAACGCTCACAGATGCATCAATGGCATTCGTAACCGTATACGGCCATACTTCGGACCCAGCGCCTTTGCCGGTGTTAATAACGACACCGTGATCTGTCCAGGGGCTGCCGTCAAGGGCTGTTGTCGTTGCGACGCCAATCGCGCTGTTGCGGGACCCTCTCGCGCTCAGCGTGTAATAGCAGTAGAACGTGCCGTTCTTTTCAATTGTTGTCGGTGCCCATGGGCGCGATCGGTTTCCTTTTGGGATTATACTATCGCCGGCTAGGACTGTGCCGAGCTGTTCCCATGGGCCGGATATGTTGGCTGATTTGAAGATTGGGATGTTGATCCCGCCTTTGAAAAGGTAGTAGTGCTCGTCGTGGAGAATAATGTTTGGGTCGTGGGCTGCGATATTTCCTGGATTTGCGAGTGGGAATTTGTCTGTTGTTCGGTATACTTGTTTCGCGTTGTGTCCCTGGTCTTGGGCTGGGACGGCCCCCGCCAGTGGGGCTGCGATCGCAATGATTATTGATAGGAGTGGGAGGTAATGCATCTTCGAGATGATTATGTACATGGAATTATGTGCGATCGGATGCAGGGATTATATGATGGGAATTGGCCTAGCTGGCCGGGGGATGAGGAGTTATCAGATCGTGATACACATGGCTCTGTTGTCTTCAACTGATGGATGTTTGAATGGTCAATGCGGCGAAAGGGGGAAAAGGGTAGGTAGAGTAGGAGTGGGGATAGGAGAATTGAGGCAAGCAAGGGAGAAACACATGGTATAAATTTGCAAGTGGCAAGGAGCTAAGAACAAAAAAACAGGAAAAGAAAAAGAAGCACAGCCGTCGAGCCTCATCGAAGCTAATTGCAAAGCCAAGTGTTTTAGGGGGTCTTAGGCTATATTTGGAAGAGTACCTGGCGGTACCTGGAAGTACCTTGCCCCAAGGCTATTTTTTGCCTTGTACCGAAGTACCGCCAGGTACTAGACCCGCAATTCTCAAGGCAGCCAGTTTTCTCTGATTGGCTTTCGTTGAACTGAGTGTCCCTGAGTACATCTTTATTTTGTTGCATATTCTTCATATCCATTTATCTTTGGTGTTGTTTTTTCCCTTTTTTTTTGCAAAAATACTTTGTGCCATATGACATATGTTGTGGATGTACAGTATAGGCCCTAGAGCTCGATCTGCAAGGCGTGATTATTGCGTATCGTCCCCACAATAGCTAGAATGACGATCAATGACCAGTAATGCTTCACGCTAAACGGCAAGGATCTTTACAACTAGAATATGAGGACCTATGGGATTGACGCCGAAAATGACCGCCTTTGAGGCCAGAAACGGCTGCCTTACTACCCGTAACTTTGGACGTCCGGCCGCCCCTTAACCGCCCACTACCTTATAACACCACTATTCTGCACCCGCCTAGCAATTTTAATCATCTTCCGGTCTTGCCTAGGTGATATTGACGCTCGACTTATACGGCTTTCCCCCCCGGTTTCTACTAGCGGCTAAACGACACTGAAAATGGCTCCCTTTCAGCTGAATTCAAGTCTGCTCCCTTTTCACCCGGTTTATTTGAGCGCCTATAAGATACTTCTCTTTCCCTCCCCTCCATTATCCTGTTCTTTGTATTATGCACTACGATGCACCGGGGAGAACTATACCATTTGGCTGGGAACTAGATGACTACCCATGCCGATCGGTGGCAGCAACAGGTTTTGGTCGGGCAAAACAGTAAAGTAAGGGTGATCATCTTGCGTAGAATGCAGCGATCGATTCAACAGTATGATTGTTAGTAGATCGGTTATACGGCTTTTGGCGAAGAATATCTTCTACTCAGATGAGGGTAACACAAGAAGCAAATGGCTGTCGACTTGGATAATCACCGGCGAATGCAACACGACACCACGTTGATTGGCAGATTGGCAGTTAATTGCCACTACCAGAGGTTAAGTTGTCACGTTTTGATGAGTGCACATTGCATTACGGATATATGGCTTTATGTGCAGTTAATAATGGCACCATCTGATTGCAACTGATGAGTATGACTGTTCGAGGAGTTGTTATAATGCTACAAGTTAATGTGTCATGGGCTTCTCAGCATGAGGGAGGCCAAGAGTCGATATATCCCGCGCATCTTGCTGCTGACTCACAAAAGTTCAAACATCCATGCTGAAATATCAACGGTAATCTAATGAGCTAATGAAGTCATCGCGGAAATTTGTTGGTAATTTTGCTGAGTGCAACTGCTGCCTAAAATCAAAGTGTTGCCTTGGCACATATAAAA